GAAAAAAAAAAGGTTAGCTCGTTCTTTAGTCCCGGTTGGTAACGGCTCAGCCATGGCTGAGCCATCTTTAATCTCGGTTGGTGTTACCTCGATCTTTAGTCCCGGTTATTTCACCCGGGACTAAAGATAGTCCCGGATTGGTAATCCCGGTTTGAAAACCGGGACTAAAGGGGGGTTACGAATCGGGACTACAAACGCGTTCTTCACCCGTGAGTGTCAATCTCAATGTGTTTTTTTTGTAGTAGTGACTTCCCCAATCCACTGGACGTGATGAATTTAACCCGCCCCCTTGATCCACGGAAGAGGCACAATGCGGGAGGTGATAGGTGTTGGCGACGGGTGTCAACGTTTGCAACTGCAGGTGCCACTCCGTACGCTCGGCCTAAAATAAGGGCAAAATTACAGTTTTTTCTTTTGATGTTCATATTACGTTCTCTCACATTTCTACTACTATTAATTATGATGGTACAATATAAATTCATCCAATCTCTTGGATGTAAAGATATTAATATGTGTTAGATTTATCTCTACTACGGGCCGCAAAGAGGCATAAGGAAATAAACTGCTAGGAGAATGCAGGGTATCGAACAAAGCTTGAACAGAGGTGGCAATTTAACTGGCAATGTGGGCGCGCGGAGTCATGGACCTTCTTCCCACCGATCCTTACCCTTAACTTGAGCTTGTCGGTGAAGCTGAATCGGTTACTAAACCAAACTAATTATTAAACTCTGCTGATGAGTCTCACGGCCTTTTCCAGTTTCTCTATGCAGCTGACCAACAAATAGTGGTGTGGCTTCGACCATCTGAGGATCAGATCGATGTGCCGCTTTTTCTACAGAACACAGGACCATCTCAATATGTCTCATCGCATCGAATGTCCTATTTGGCGAATGACATGCAATGCATGTTAATTTCCTGCTAATTCTACCGTTCGCGTGTATATCGATCGAGCCCTGAAGAGAGATTAATTTAAGCGATGATTATCCGATCGAGACCAGTCGTTGCCAACGAACTCCTGCTCACCAAGTACATACGATCGAGCGAGTATATATATACGTACATTCATACGGCCTTGACGGCTGGGGCCCACACCAATCAACGCCGAAAAATACACCCCGTTCTACGTACACGCCGGAACATGCAGATGTATATACATACCGGCCAAAATGTGATGCAAATACAATAAAGTAATTAATAGTCGAGACGTCGACGCATGCATGCACGTTGCAGAGCTCGGAATTAAACATAACATGGCCTGTCAATTCTTAATCTCTCGATCACTGAATATATGTTATTCATGCTGAAGAATCTTTTTATATTTTATGTATATATATCCGAAACTAACAAACCATCATTATTGCGTTTGTGAACGAATGAAACCGATTAAACGAAAGCGACGGTGACGCACGCACGCAGCAGCTGCCAAACAAACATGTTAATACACACCGTACCTCACATGCCCTGCGTACACAAACACGCACGCTGCTAGGTCGATCGATCAGCTCAAATTAGGGCGCGATTGCCTCGCCATGCAAGCAACTGCTCCTCGACGACAACTACCACGATAACGACTGTTCTTTTGTTCCTTTTTACTACATCCGTCCTAAAAAAATTGTATTTCTAACTCTAAGACTTTGTTCCTAAAAATTGTATTTGTAGCCATATAGGGCCTAGCAAATTAATTAATCTAGATGAGATTCCTAATGTGAGCAGCAAATTTTTGGTGCCAAATCCATTTGGCGCTAAAGCATGTAATTTGAACTGCTAATGCTTGTAATTAAGTATGCTAATTATATGGGTTAATTCTCTCAAACTTCCTTTTAATCATTTGTATATATGAAATGTGTGCATGCAGTGGGTTCATTAAATAAGACTATTGTGGTCATTTTCCAATCATACTGTTTTGTCCTAAATTAGCTAGAAATATAATTTTTATGGGACGGAGGGAGTAAGAAAAAGAACATATATAATTACTCGTAAATACGATTATCTATATAGAGTCAGAGAATTCGAACCAAATAAGCTACATGAGTAGGTTTCTACTCGCAAATATACATGTCCAACTAAAGAAACCTAATCAAGTGAGCTACGCTTAACCCTCACGACGACGACAATTTTCATGTTCTCCGAGCTTTGAAAGAAAAAGGGTTTGAAAAAGAACACACCAAGTTGCTAGTTTAAGGAGCTTTCAGGCAATTTAAGCCTAACACTTTCCATGGCATGTGCTGACAACGAGCTGAGGCGAGAGGCCCCCTGATTTGGATGAAGACTCATCCATCAACTTAATTTTTCTAATCCCTTTATAGCTGAAATGTTGGACTTGGCCTGAACTAGTCCATACACACACACAGTGCGCACATATTTCTGCATGTTATACTAGCTGACCTGACAGCCTAATATACTGTACCTAATTTTGCTTTTGTGTTTGGGTCTAATTAATTAAAGTGGAGCCCTTTTCAGAGGGGGGGTTTGGATGCATCTCCAGGAGTAGTCATCGTCTTTAGCTATTTGGATCCACTTCTACTTGGAATAATAACACAATACCACATTGTGTGTGAATTTGTCTGCTCTCATGCATTTGAGGCCACTAGGCATGTGGGATGTTGTCCATCTTTGCGTGTCCTCGAGTTCACATATTTATTTGGGTATTAATTCATTTGCAATATGAGGCTCTGGGTCCTATCAATGTATGTGTACGTATGGGCATTGCTCCTGCCGTACAGTCCCAGACTTTGGCTGTCTTTGCAGCTTAATTCAATTTATTTTTGGATACGTCGACCACAAGCAAATTAAATCATATGTCATCATATACAAGCATGCACGGTTAATTTGTGATCAGTAGCTATATATACAATTAAGTAGTGATGAAGAATGGCTGGTCAATTTCTTGACGATGGCTTGTTTGAACCGGATAAATTAGAAGCAAATTGTTCGTAAATTGGTGCTGATTTCAGTCCAGTTTCTCCGACGACGACGACCCGAATCAAGTGGAACTAATGTATCCCCCACTTGAGCGAATTCAACCAAAACAAAACAGAGAATTACGTACGCTGCTGCATTTCTGTTCTTCTGACTTTTGGGGGGAGGAAGAAGAGGAGGAATTAGCGGCTAAACTAATCATGGTACTAACATGGCCGGCACATGTGCTTTTGTGGCCACACTAGCTATACAAAAGTTATTCCCACTTTCATTTGACACCGACACTGGTAGTATCCTCATTCTTCCCCTTGTTGCAGGCCCAAATGATGAGCACGAAATTACTGCCAGTGATTGACAAACTCTGCTTTCAATTATTGGAGTACCTGCATCTTGCCTCTCTGCTGGACAAACATTGTAGGAGTACGCTACAGCAAGTGAAATATGATACTGCTCTGAATTAATCTATTAGAAGTTTAGTACTATATACCTTCGTTTAAAAAGGAAAAAAAAACTTCATTTATGATAATGAATTTGAACAAAGCACTACTTTGGTTTAATTGATTAGTTCAAAATAAGAGTTTATGTAAGTGCAAACATGTATACTCACTGTAACAGATAGCAGGTAGTAGTAGTGTCAAGTACACTAATCAATTAACCCAAAGTACATTCCGGTAAGTAACTGCTACAGCTACCACTTTTGGCAAAGATCTGATCACAAGGCTCACAAGCAACCTCAGCAGTTACACCTCCTAGCTAGCCCCTATGGTTGGTTGGTTGGCAAAGTTGCTTGTACTAGTTGCTACTCTATCTCTCTCTCTCACACACACACAAACAAGAAACAACTACAGTACAAGCCCTATACCAAAAGCAAGATTGGCTCTAGGCTCTAGTCTAGCCACAATGCACTTGCCAAGGAAGCAGCTGCAGGTAGTAACAAAGGTGAAAAGAGCGATAGTGCATGCATGGTGGTGGCTTGGTGGGCAAATCCCGATACGTATCCTAATATATGATACTAGGATTCTACCAAACTGAAACAATACTAATCCCGTCTAGTATCCTAATTTTCATAGTATTTTGATATTACTATTTATTTTCACATGATCCTACGAAATCTTAGGTAGTATCTTAATTCTAAGATTCCTACTATCCTACAAAATATTATTTAAAATAAGATGGATTGATAGTAATATGAATAAATATACTCAAGTTTACATAAAAAACAATTAAATTTATCAAAATCAATATTATATGCTTTAACTTTTCAATATATTATATATTTTATATAAAAATATGTACTTTGTAAAATCTATGATTCTATCAAACAAAAAGGATCTTACATAGGGTGTGTTTAGTTCACACCAAAATTGGAAGTTTGGTTGAAATTGGAACGATGTGACGGAAAAGTTGGAAGTTCATGTGTGTAGGAAAGTTTTGATGTGATGGAAAAGTTGAAAGTTTGAAGAAAAACTTTATATCTAAACTCGGCCATAGTATCTCGATACTGAGGCCATGTTTAGTTCCAAAGTTTTTTTTCCAAACTTTCAACTTTCCATCACATCAAACCTTTCATACATATACAACTTTTCTATCACATCATACCAATTTCAACCAAACTTCCAAACCTCGGTGTGAAGTAAACACAGCCTGACTACGGGTGTATTTAGTTCATGTCAAAATTGAAAGTTTGGTTAAAATTGGAATGATGTGACAAAAAAGTTAGAAGTTTGTATGTGTAGGAAAGTTTTGATGTGATGGAAAAGTTAGAAGTTTAAAAAAAAATTTGGAACTAAACTCGGCCTACCTTCTGGTGGTAGGGGCTGCAGCTGCACCATCTTGGTTGCTAGCATCTCTCTTATTAACTCCTATCAACTGATCCACCCTCACTGATCACTCTTGTAGAGTCTTGGTGTACATTTACTCCTACTGCACTGCACTACCAAACTCTCCTTCGGCCCTCACCTCACACCTTCTGTTACTGTTAGTGGGCCCCACATTTGCAACCTTCTCTCTCTACCACTCTCTTGCGCAACTCCTCCTCTATCGATCTCCTTCCTATATATACATGCTCACTTGGACACAACACATTCCATCTCCCAAAGCAGCAGCAGCAGCAGCAGCAGCAGGCCAGCAGCTAGCATTATCAGAGAGAGAGAGCAAAGTGTGCTCTCTTCTTCCTCTTCTCTGCTACTAATCAAAGCTAGCCAGCTAGAGACATCTATAGCTTGGGAGAAAGAAGAAAGCTGAGAGCTCTTTCTTGCTAGCTAGCTAGCAATGGCGGCTTCTGCTGCTGCTCCGGCCACCGTGGCGGGGCTGCTGGTGGCGGTGGCGGCGATAATGGCGGCGTCGCCGGCCGGCGCGCAGCCTTCGCCGGGGTACTACCCGAGCTCGGTGCACAGGGCAATGGCCTTCTCTCGTGACTACACCAACAAGTGGGGCCCGCAGCACCAGACCCTCTCCGCCGACCAGTCCTCCCTCACCATCTGGCTCGACAAAACCTGCGGTAATTTGTTTCATTAGATAACTAATTAATTATATTAGCAGCTAATTATTTGGGTTTAGTTTTAATTAATGGTAGTAATGTTCTCGTCGGAGGAAGAGAAAAATTCTTTAATATACTTTGTCGTGTCACAGCGACAACAGTCGCCGGGCAATCCATGTGGGTCATTTGACGTGCCCAGACTTGTGTTTTTTTTTTGTTTTTTTGGTGACAGTTACAACACTGGCGTAATGTTAATGTGGGTTTTTGTTTGTGCCTTCTGAAACTCTGAAAAAGGAGGGGGAAGCACACATGGTTTTCTCTGTCCTTTTTACTGTTTCCAGTCGTGTGTGGTCCACGTCAGAAAATTAAACAGAACTCTTAACAATATCTCGTGTTTGTATATCCTAATCTTTATCTAAATGTGGTAGCTTATAAATTAATTAACCAAGTTCACCTTTTAGTTTACGTGAAAGAAGAAATGGGTAATTTGTTGGTTAATCCTGCCGCTAATTGTGATGGTAATTGATGCACAGGGAGCGGGTTCAAGTCAAGGAAGTCGTACAGGAATGGCTACTTCGCCGCTCGCGTTAAGCTCCCCGCCGGCTACACCGCCGGCACCAACACCGCCTTCTACGTAAGCTTAGCATATTTCATCAAATCAGCCTCAAATTTCGACCCAATTTCAAACGAACAACGGGTGAATTCAAGCTTAATTTGAACACTATTGCAGCTGTCGAACAACGAGGCGCACCCGGGGTTCCACGACGAGATCGACATGGAGTTCCTGGGCACCATCCCCGGCGAGCCCTACACCCTCCAGACCAACGTCTACGTCCGCGGCTCCGGCGACGGCCGCATCGTCGGCCGCGAGATGCGCTTCCACCTCTGGTTCGACCCCACCGCCGACTTCCACCACTACGCCATCCTCTGGAACCCCGACGCCATCACGTAAAACCCGATCACAAATACTTGTCAGTTTTGACTATTAAACGTTCGTCGCTGACGTAAATTGATTGGTTCGGGTACAGGTTTTTCGTGGACGACGTGCCGATCAGGAGGTACGAGAGGAAGAGCGAGCTGACGTTCCCGGACCGGCCGATGTGGGTGTACGGCTCCATCTGGGACGCGTCGGACTGGGCCACCGACGACGGCCGCCACCGCGCCGACTACCGCTACCAGCCGTTCGTCGCGCGCTTCGACCGCTTCACCGTCGCCGGGTGCGCCCCGTCGGCCCCCGCCTCGTGCCGCCCCGTCCCGGCCTCCCCCGCCGGCGCCGGCCTCACGCCGCGCCAGTACGCCGCCATGCGGTGGGCCCAGCAGAGCCACATGGTGTACTACTACTGCCAGGACTACCGCCGCGACCACTCCCTCACGCCCGAATGCTGAGCTACTTTTTTTTTTTTACACTCGCTTATTTTGATTTATAAGTGGATTCACGAGTGCCGTTGCCGTGCTGATTCGTGTGTGTTGTGTTCTTGTTTGGATTTTGGGAAAGGTAATGTGGGTGTGTGTGGGCCGCTGCCCTACCGCTGCTGCCGCCTGTGAGGCCGGTGGTTGAGGCGTTGGTTGGTCGTTCGTTTCGTTGTTTTGGCATGTTTTTGCCAAAAGGGCACTCGTCGTTTGCTATTTTTTTCCTCTTTCTTTTGGCTTGTGTTTGTCCGTTTTCATTTCACATGCTTGCGTGCCCCAAAGGGGCAGGATTAAAGGTGAAGGTGCATGATCCGTGATATTCTCATGCCTGCTTGCTGTAAACACAGGATATATATATATATATTTGTAATATTGATACGTCTCGTGTCGGTAATGATATTTATGAACCACTGGAATTAATGTGGTTGGTTTGTGTAACATTTGTTTTTATTCTCTCTCTCCAAACATTGATATATATCCATTTTCGTCAATTCAGTTTAAATAGAAGATCTAGTTACTTGTGTTCCAAGGTTGTGTACCATATTTCCCTGTCTGAATTTTGATGCATACGCGTCGGGTGACTAGAACTTTCGTACTACTAATTAATTATCGATCAACTAGTAACATTTTTCAAAACATCATTTGATTGATCCTGGATTTTTGGATGACTCAGTCCGATGGCCAGACACCTTTCTTCAACCTCTCTTTTTTCTCCATTTGCTCTATCTTCTTATCTACCATCAATTGAGCTTTATACTAACCCTGTACGTTTCACTTACCTATTGTCTCCTCAACCACTACTGATTCTTTCCTCGATGATGGCAAGCACCAAAGAAGTTAGGGCATTGGGGTGTTGCAGCTAAAGTACATATACATGGAGGCCTTGAGCAGTCGGTAAACTAGTGGCGGTCAGCGATGAAGACGATACAATGTGGAGAGGTGAGGTGGTGCCACCGGAGCTATGAGTAAAGAGGACCGGATGTAGGCGGTGTTGGCGGCATATGAAATTCAAAGCAACTTAAGGAGTATATATTAGGCCATGTTCTTTTCTCCAACAAAAACTGGATAAAATTTTGGATACTCGTGACACGCTTTTCAAACTGCTAAACAGTATGTTTCGTGCAGAAGCTTTCTATATGAAAGTTGCTCTCAAAAATCACATTAATCTATTTTTTAAGTATGTAATAATTTAAACTCAATCAATCATACATTAATACCACATCGTTTTGCGTAAAACATTTAATCTTCATCTTCAGAAAAAAAAAGACCACCTTAGTACGAGATGGGTAATTGAGCACGTGAGAGTAGCTCTAGTGCGAATCTAAAACCAATTTCAACGCTAAAAATCCGAACAGTACAATCTATTTTAATACCCTAGGGATCGAATAACCAAATTTTTATTCGGCTTTTATAGACCGAACTTGCCGAACGAACACTAGAGCTGATCTAAAAATAGATAGATGCAGAGAAAACCTACCTATCAATTGAATGCACGTCCAACTGCCGCTATGACACATGGACAACCTCATTGAAGCAACATTGATGTTGCTATAGCTAGATTTGCGGAATTTTCTGTTCTAAAACCCTATTTGCATAATATTCTATTGATTTATCGCTGCAAATAGGAAAATTTGAAAAGAAATAAAAAAGAGGTTGCATTGATATCGAGGGGACCAGGATACATGGGAAGAAAGGTGCACAAGCGAAAACATTTGTTGACCATTTCCAGTGGCGGTGCCACTTGCTACAGTACAGGCGCAGGCCCTCATGTGTGGACCCGGGCACGATGCTTCCGTGATACACTCAAGATGCTGTGACAACAGTAGCATCGGTATTATTGTTTCTTCTCCCTTTTCGTGAAGCAAACAGCTGCGACAGTAATAACTAGTCTAGGGTTGTGTTTAGTTCAGCGTAAAGTTTAGATTTTGATTAAAATTAGATATGATGTGACTAAAAAGTTGTGTGTATGATAGGTTGATGTGATGGAAAAGTACTGAAGTTTGGATCTAAACTTTAGATATAAACACAGCCTAGATGAATATGATCGATTTTGGTTGGTATAACCCATGTCACGCACCTTGTGCTTTTGGGTGTACATATATATACATGCATTGGCTATGGTGTTTTGTCTGGTACACATGTGCAGTAGTCGTGGCATGTACTGTAGGTGTCTGTACTAGCTTAGGGAGTGTTTAGAATCATGGGTATAAAGTTTCGGCGTGTCATATCAGATATATAGACATATATTTAAAGTATTAAACGTAGACTAAAAATAAAACAAATTATAGATTTCACCTGTAAACTGCGAGACGAATTTATTAAGCCTAATTAATCTATCATTAGCAAATGTTTACTGTAGCACCATATTGTCAAATCATGGAGCAATTAGGTTTAAAATATTCGTCTCGCAATTTACATACAATATGTGTAATTAGTTATTTTTTTATATTTAATACTTCATGCATATGTTCAAATATTCGATGTGACAAGACGAAAAATCTTGACGGGATCTAAATACACCTTAGTAGGAAAACACTGTTCTCACGGGTACTGTTTTCTTCTGTGGTACTCCAACGAGCAATTATTGTCCGTTCATCGTCGATTGGACGGGTGTGATTTACGCAAAGCTAGTATATATGGTGCGTAGTTCTTTGAGTTTGCTCAATGGAGTTTGATCAATCTAAGTCAGACCATGTATGGTTTTTCTTGTTTTGGGGACGAAATGCAAGCCTAGGGAGATGGCGAAATTCGTAAAAATTGATTGATTTTGTTCAAAATTCGACAAATCCTGAGCAGTTTGGGTGACGAAATCAGACATCGTTTTGGTAGGTATCGTTTTCTTCTACTCTATAATATTATTACTTACACAGTTCGGGAAAGTAAAATCCCCGATCCACCGCCCAAAACAAAATATCATACATAACAATACCCTAACCCTTTATCCTTTTAGAAGGTAAGGGTAAACGGACTATCAAAACAACCTTGCGAATGAAACAGTACAACAGTAATGGATGTTTCTTAGGGTGATCACTACTAGAGAAACAATTTTTCTGAATGAGAACCCTATAGGTGGACCATAATTGTTGCCGCCTGCAAAAATCGTTTTCCAGGGGAGTGTTTCACGAGCCACATGTGAAATACATTTTCATATGCAACTCCTTAAGAAGTCCGCTTATGCAAATAGACTTATTTTTTCAGATGAGCATTTTAAATGAATAAATGGAAAAAATGTATTTTAGAAATCTAACTTACCTCCTATTTTTCTAGTCGACACTTCAAATTTTTTCAAGTCATCATCCTTATATCCTCACCTTCTCTCTCGCATCCTCTCCTGTATATATTATCTCCCACTCCTCTCTCTCCCTCGAGTTCCCCTCTCAAGCGACGGCGGCAGGTGGCTAGCTAGTGGTCGGTAGCAAGAGGTGGGGTGGCTTAGTGACCTCGTGTCGTAGATTGGATTGGTCTGGCAGTTTTTGAGACGGGGAGTTGACTCAGATATTAAGAGTTTTTTCTTTTTCAAGGATTATCCTTTCTCATCTATCTCGAAACAAAATACCCTTAAAATGAGGCTTTTCCTAATCTTACCTAATCTGTTCCTCCAACCAAACACGTGTCAGAGTTTCGAAAAAGATACATGCATGGTTTGGTATACAGCATATTGGGCCTTGGTAAGGGACAGTGGCATACTCGTGTACATGGCTGGGCCTTCAGTGAAGCAGGCCGTACGTGCGCGTCAACGGCGGCGGCCGCCGAGACCTTCGGAATTGCCCTCTCGGGTGGCGCCAAATTGGAGGTCGCAGGATCGCAGCCTCGCAGGTGATAAAATCACCAGCCACTAGCGCCCGCACGTACGTGTCGCGAACTCGCGCCACGGCCGCGCCGCTCGCCGCCGTCGAGCGACAGGCGTCCACCCCTCACGCCTGCATGGCTGCCACTTCGCCTCCTCCTGCATCTTCCAACGTTGATATAAAGACCAGTGTCATACCACGCCAAGATTCTCGATCTCTCCCACCACCATGGCTGCTGCACCTGCACGGCTCGTCGTCCTTGTCCTCGTGGCGGTCGTCGTCGTCGTCGGCGGCGACGGCGACGCCGGCGTCATCCGGCAGGTGACGGACGGCGGGTACTGGCCGCCGGGGCTGCTCCCGGAGGCCCAGTTCGCGGCGTTCGTGCGGCGGCACGGGCGGGAGTACTCCGGGCCGGAGGAGTACGCGCGGCGGCTGCGCGTGTTCGCCGCCAACCTCGCCCGCGCCGCGGCGCACCAGGCGCTCGACCCGACCGCGCGCCACGGCGTCACCCCGTTCTCCGACCTCACCCGGGAGGAGTTCGAGGCGCGCTTGACGGGCCTCGCCGCCGACGTTGGCGACGACGTCCGGAGGCGGCCGATGCCGTCCGCCGCGCCGGCCACGGAGGAGGAGGTGTCCGGCCTCCCCGCCAGCTTCGACTGGCGTGACAGGGGCGCCGTGACCGACGTCAAGATGCAGGGCGCGTGCGGCTCCTGCTGGGCCTTCAGCACCACCGGCGCCGTCGAGGGCGCCAACTTCCTCGCCACCGGCAACCTCCTCGACCTCAGCGAGCAGCAGCTCGTCGACTGCGACCACACGGTACATCACAAATCACATCACACGCACACGCAACACTCCTAATCTCATCTCTGAACTAATCGAGATATGGCTCGTGATCGTTGAAGTGCGACGCGGAGAAGAAGACGGAGTGCGACAGCGGGTGCGGCGGCGGGCTGATGACGAACGCCTACGCCTACCTGATGAGCTCGGGGGGGCTGATGGAGCAGAGCGCGTACCCATACACGGGCGCGCAGGGGACGTGCCGGTTCGACGCCAACCGGGTCGCCGTCCGCGTCGCCAACTTCACCGTCGTCGCGCCGCCGGGCGGCAACGACGGCGACGGCGACGCGCAGATGCGGGCGGCGCTGGTGCGGCACGGCCCGCTAGCCGTGGGTCTGAACGCGGCGTACATGCAGACGTACGTGGGCGGGGTGTCGTGCCCGCTGGTGTGCCCGCGCGCGTGGGTGAACCACGGCGTGCTCCTCGTCGGCTACGGCGAGCGTGGGTTCGCGGCGCTGCGGCTGGGCCACCGCCCCTACTGGATCATCAAGAACTCGTGGGGGAAGGCGTGGGGGGAGCAGGGCTACTACCGGCTCTGCCGCGGCCGCAACGTCTGCGGCGTCGACACCATGGTCTCCGCCGTCGCTGTCGCCCCGCCGCCGCCGTGATCGATTGATCGATATCGATCGGCCGCCGGCGATCTCACGTTACCGATGTGTTATGTGAAGTACGGAGTACTACTGTATACTGGATGTGCTTGATTAAAGCTTTGCTTGGTTAGCGGTGGGAGACGTGGCGGTAGTAGGTGCTTAGTACTACGTTTTACAAATGGTTTTACATAGTTGGGTTGTATGTCGATCTACTACTAGTGAATACAGAATAACAAAAAGTTATGGACGTGTACATTAAGCTAGGGTATATTGAAGTCATCTTCAAGGGCTTTATTATTAAACCAACGCCCAATTGTGTTGTGTATCAACTATCAAGCACTCATCGAGTTCACAATAGATTTTAAACATAGCTACCCCTGCAAAAAAAAAAAACATTGTAACACAACACACTAGTTCACAGAGCATTTTTAATGTTCTGGATTGGGACCCATTTAGATTGCAGATCGTTGGGAAAAATCGTTCTCTCATTTTTAGGCATTTTTAGGTGTTCTCCCATTTTTAGGTGCGGTCCCATTTTTAGGCATTTTTAGGTGTCCTCCCATTTTTAGGCATTTTTAGGTGCGGACCTAGGCCCGCAGGAGAAAATCAAGAGAAAATCAATTTTTACATGTGAGCCGGTTAAGATCCACACACAAAAATAATTAAAATTTTTTTAATTATTTTTGTGTGCGGATATTTAAGAGACCCGCAGGCGAAAAAATAAATTATTTTTTACCCGCGGGCCTCTTAATCGTCCACACGTAAAAATAAGCTATTTTTGCGTGCGGACCCTTAAGAGGTCCACATGCGAAAATTGATTTTCCCATGCGGACATCTTAAGACCACCGTGCGAAAATTGATTTTCCCATGCGGACATCTTAAGACCACCGCACGGAAAATACCCTCCCTCTTTTCCCCTCTCAACACTTCAAAAAAATTCCATCCTCGTCCTTATCCTCACCTCCACCTCCCTCCCTCCTTTCTTCTCCTCTCACAGGCGCGACTCGGCATCCCGCGAGCGACGGTGGGAGGAGCGGGGCCTCGACCGCCCTGCTGCCGTCGCCGCCGCCGACGAGGTGGCCGGGATCCGATAGCGCGACGCCTCTCCGCTGTTCAGATCCGACGGCAGCCCCCCTCTGCCGCCCTCCGTAGCCCGGATCCGGCAGCGCCGCCCCTCTTCCGCCCTCCCCCACGCGACGGCGGCGGCGACGACGAGGAGGTGGCCGGGATCCGGCAGCGCGGCGTCTCTCGGCCGCCCGTATCCGGCGGCGGCGCGGCGCCTCTCCGCTGCTCGGATTTTTATTTTTGTGTGTGGGCAACATAACCACCCCGGACGCTAAAATGTGATTTTCGTGTGCGGGTACAAAAATTACGATTTTTCTAGACCCCTTAGTGTATTTAAATTACGATTTTCCTAGACCCCTTAGTGCATTTAGAGATTCATTTGTAAAAAAGTTTTTATTCTGAGAAGAACATTCAAATATTGGATTGAAATTTCATGATTTCGAGCGGAAAGTTTATGAATCTTTTGAATTTATTTGGAATTTCATATGTACAAAGTTCCTTCGCAAAAGTTTCTACATTTGAAAATTTACGTGGATAAAGTTTCTGCGTGTTTTTGTGCACAAAGCTTCTACATTCACAAAATTACATAGATCGATAAAGTTTTTGCACTAGAAATTTATTATTACTCCGAATCCGATATTCGCGTGCACGTGTTCACGCGTGAGGATTCTCGGACAGTTCGGGACCCACACAGCCACACTCCAAACCGCACAGGCCCAGTTTGGGCCCAAAAGAACAATCCCTTCCTTGAGACGTCACCGAACTTTGGGCTCTATGGGCCTAACGAGCTCCACTGGGCCCAAATCACAAATGGGCCCATTTCCTCCCACTCCATAATTTTTTTCATTTTTAAATTTTTATTTTTTAATATTTACATAAATATTATAACATCTAAAATATTTACAGAAATGACCCCTGCCGCCTATGTGGAGTTTTGCCGCCCTCTGCAAGGGCTGTAAGGGGGCAAATGCAATTATCGTCCTGCCAAAAATACATTTTTATAGTTTTTCTTTTCATCTTGTTCGTCCCTCATGCCAGGTCTACTTCTGTAAAATATTTTCGTCGTAACAATATTTCTTTCTGTAAATATTAAAAAAAATTAAAAATGAAAAAATTCCCCACTCTAGGGAACGCCGAGACTGAGAACGCCCCCTTTCCTTTCCCCCTCCTCTCGTTGGAGGCGGCCGGGGAAGCTGGTGGGCATATGGAGTGCGCGGCGAAGGGGCTGGTGGCGGAGCCGTGTGCCGGCGAGGCCCGCCGGCGCTGCGGCGGTTGCGGCGCCGTCGCCTACTGCTCGCGCGCCCACCAGGTAGCGCCCGGTGAAAACTTTCTACCTTTTCTGCCCCCCCGTTAAATCCGTCCAGCTGTTGCCGTTCTAGGGAGGGTTTCGAATGGCGGGCGTATGCGTATGCCTCGACCAAATCTGTGTTTCGTAAGTAAGGATTTCTGTTGGGATTTCCTGGAATCCCGGTAGGTGAGAGTATCCTAACGTTGTGGGTGAAGCTTTGAGTTTAATCTGAAAATTTTAAGGAGGAGTTATTTGTATTTTACATATATTTTCTTTGCAACTGTGTAGCTATGTGTAACTTTGAAACCTACAATTTGCAGACTGTGCATTGGGGATTTCATAAAGAAGAATGCGCAAGGCTCGCAGAGCAGATGAGCCGCATCGATATGCTGAAACAATTTCCATTCACGTTCTCTGTGGAATCTCCTGCTCCGGTACTTGACTCATTGTGATCTCCATTTTTTTTTTTGCATCTGAAGTTCTCTCCGTGCATCTAAAGTTATTTTTCCCCCTCTGTCATAAAATTGTTTCTACCTATGCTTCCTGAAATGATTTGGTTACCCCTTGTGAACCTTGTTTTGTCCCTTAGTAGTATTATGTAGCTCTCTCTCACACTTACTGTTCTTACAGAATCATACATTCCCTAGTCTAAGATGTTTCCTTTTGGAATCATTCAAACTTCACCAAAAAGGACTCTGGAAATCAGAATGCATATGTGATCCAGAGGTTACTTCAGTCAAGGACTTAAGGTTTGCTTTTGCCCTGAGATCTCATGATCCCAGCTACCAGCCAACTCGTTAATTCTATAACACTAGTATATTTGCTCGTGCGTTGTAACAGATCTCAAATAAATATGCCATAAGTTCTAGGCTTACACAAATGCATAATAGTTACCCCCACTTTTAAAGCATTCGCATCAGATTGACCTATGACCATATATTTGTATGCTCTAAGAACTCAAACCTCTGGAAAACTATACGGTTAATGATATCAATGTCTTGTTGTGTATTATACAAACTACCAGGCTTTATGTCCTTTAATTTTTACCTAATTTTAGTCTCAGCTAATTTTACTTTTATGCTCTTTCTGCATATTATACAGCAAAACAACTGACTGGAGTATGGGAAGCGCCCTCTGCCCATGCACAGGTGGATATCTCATTGTAATGAGGTGGTTGGCACTATTTTCATTTCATGGCTCCTAAAAGCATTTGATTTTGTGTACAGAGCCTGAACATAATGTATCCACACCCCTGACAAGCTGGAAAGACTACTATAGGTGGAGATCGCTTCCTTTGCAATCACCTGTTGCTGTTTTACTTCACTGGGTATGCACACCACACCAAGTTTTGAGAAATATTTTGTTGTACGATCGTAGATATACGATTCTCTTGTTTGTTTTTGACGAAAATATGATTCTCTTGTCAATCCAGACCAAAGGTTCGAATTCATTTAGACAGGTGCACCAAGAAATAATCGTGTTACTTATGCTATGGAAGGACAGAATGAAAACAAGATGCAAGCTTGTATTGTCAGTATCAATAAAAAAGAGAATGATAATTTGTTCATTATCTACTTTGGGTGATGCGGTCATTGGTTTTTATAATTTGACATACTTCAAATTTACTGATTGATTTCATTATTTTGCAAATACATCCAAGCATGCTGTGCTTGTGCTTGCTATATTGCCTATATATGCAATCTTCTGCTTAAAAAAAAACAGTTGGCTACTACACTTCCTGTACGTGGGATGTTTTCCTTAAAATATTTAATTGAAGCAAATGTCAGCTTGGCAGAATTTGCGTTATTAAAAATATGGTGATGTTTCCTATCATGTCTTCAGTCTTATATCTACATTACTAGCTATTTCTTTGAAAACTTCGGCAAAGAACCAGTTTACTGAAGCATTCTTTCCAGTTTACATTCCTGGTCCTCTTTTGTTGAGAAAATCGCCTTGATTTCCTTTGTAGATTCCTCTTGACCATGTCTCTTAATATGCTGTATACTGCATTTATAGCTCATATCATACATGTTGAGGTTATGAATGTGTATTGTGCATTACTGATTATTTTGAAAGGAGCATCACTTTTTTTACTAATATCTGTTTACACCAATGACTAGTATATTTATCGCACTTCCAATTTTGCAGCCACTTACTTTATATCATTGCGTTCAACTATCGCACCTCCAAACCTCAAAATATGATGGCCAAGACACTCTATGTATTCACTATTTAGGTAAAGTATATTGTGCAACTCTCTTCTCTGTTGAAGTACTTATATACATATGTAGGAATCCTTTTCTAGTCAGTCGGTCATTTGCTGCCATCATGGTTTTGGGCTGAACTATTTTTCGAGTTTTAAGATTATTATTATATGCCACAACTATTGAGGGCAATTAACTTTCTGGCAAAATTCTTGTAAGTGTTATGTCACTTGAACGCGCATTTCACACAAAGTAAAGCCGCTTGTTTGTGCCCACTGAATACTACTGGACACAAGCCAGTTCTTGGATTTGCTCGATGCAATTGTGTCTAATTGCCTATACATAGTTTTGGCTGGCACAATGCTCAGGGTCATTATCAGTAAATGTATGAGCACAGATATCAATCATTGACTAGTAAACAGTCTGGTGTGCACTGTGCAGTTCAGGACACTAGTCTTGTCTATCTGCACTCATGTATTTGTTGTTAGAATGCTTCCTGTTGAGCTTCCTTAGTCTGTTATTATGGAGATCACATGAAGCATTGATAGCTCTAGGTACTGTCACATGAGAGGTTTTGTCTTCCATTGTTATAGAACAAGAGGAATTAATTCAGATGTACTCTTGGAGGCCCGTGTACATTTATAGTTGTATGTTTTATTGATTAAGATTGCAGGGAATTAACTAATGATGTTTCTTCTTCATGCCTATTTCTCTAATTAAATGTCTGAAGGACCTGAGAAAGAACTACATCAGCTTGCGGTGTTTGGGGAACTACGTGCACTATTTCCAGGTGTCCATATTTACATTGAACTTGTGGGACCAGCAGTTCCAAAATCTAGGTTAGCAACAGACGCTGTTTTTCCCCTCCAGTGTTTCATGAAAAATTTTTCAATTGTTTTTTATTTCCTGGTGTTCGCTCACAATTTGACTGGTTTACCTTTTTCATTTCATCAGATCTTATACCTTTGTATCAGTTAGTTAAATAAAAAAACAAATCTAGGTTGTTTTTACTGCTGCACTAGTAGGCATATTTTGGTGACTTACTACATCTATTGTCAAACAGATGACGTTCTAGAATGTGTGTAGTCAAAATTTGAAATCTTAAATCATTAATAGATGCAAAAATCTCAGGATTTGCTATGTGAAAATGATATTAGTAGATTTGTCATGAAAAGCACTTTCATATATTTTAATAATTTTATAAATATATAATCAGAAAAAGTAATGATAGTTAAAAATAATGAAGGTAGTATTTATTACTGTGATCCTGGTTGAACATGGTTGTACATGTTCCATTATCTGTTAAAAATGTATAGTTGGTTATGTATTCTTGCTTTCCTGATTTTGATATTATACCGGCTTACAGGGATGGAGAGCTTGTAACTATTTCAAACTATGCACATTGTTGTGATGAGAGCTGCTTTTGTAAATCTTCCATTGGCTCCAAAGATTTAAGTTGCAGTGCAGTGACATTCAAACTACGAAAAGGGCTGTATCATGAGAGATATAGTGATATTGTGAAGGTTCTATGCACAGTAACTCTTTACTTATTTATAATGTGAAGCTACCCATCATATGTGTATCAAGCCTTTTTTTATTTGAATGTGAAGTGTTTTTTATAATGTGAAACTATAAACTTTCCTACTTGCTACATGCAATCTGTCATTTTGTAATACCCAATTCCGTGTGACAAGGGTATTTGCGTGTATTCCCTCTCACAAATCCAACTAACTAGGTTTAGAGCTACTAGGCTTCTTAATATTACTTGATCATGTCATTTGTAGCTTGAATTTCTTAATCTTCTGTTCAGTGTTTTCGGAAATACTTACTGGAATGTTAGTTGTTATGTACTAGAAGTTTCATTGATGCCATATATGATGCACTAAATCACAAAGAGAAATTGGCATTTAATTCTATTGGCATGTGTATTGTGGTCAGGGAATACTAGAAGCTTTGACTTTTGTACTGAATATATATAATTAGCCCACCAAGCCAATTCATTTGGGAATTAATGATCGAGTTATTTTCATTCAGGATTGACTTTCTCTGCTAATACTTTGTTTCTTGGTAGGATTCAAAGCCTCATCTCATTGTTGCCCCAAATGCTGGTATAGCTGCATATCCTAGTTGGATTCCAACTATTGTAAGTATAAATGTTCTTGATTAGCAACCTCCTCCCATTTTGGATATGAGCATGATTGGCTATGAATTTCCTTGTGATACTACCACTCTTAACTTCACAAAGTTGACATTGTTCCAGCTAGTTTCATGCTAAAGCATACATCTGGAACTTAAAGTGTATTCTTCACAAATCGCAAATCATCCCTTTATCTCAGTTGATGATATTCAAGTAAAAATCGATGCGTTTAATTGGTCATCTTTTCTTCTCTAACCCAGACAATTTTCAACAGACATGTTATCTATGGAAGAAAGTGTTAGCATTATATTGTCCTCATGTGAACTTAAATTAAAAATACACCACACTATGACAGCTTTAACTGATGATTGCCAGTATAACACAGTATACTCTATGTCTTAGCTTGTAACAGACTTCCATTTTTTGTGCTCATTCTATTCAATTTTCATTTGAAGGAAATAATTAGGAAAGTTGGGATTCCTGCAATTTTCACGGACTTCTGTGAAGAAGCTGCACATCTAGCTTCGTCCTGCATTACCTCCATAACTGGTCAACCCCTCAGAGTCCCAGTATGTGTTCTGTTTTTCCATCGTTTCCTTTCTGATTGTAGTTATGGAGTATCAAACTAATACCATCATCATCTATCATCTCCTCTCTCAGATTCAGGTAAATCCTTTCAGGCAACCGGTTGCAGTGGATAATAGTGCACTATGCTTACCATGCTACTCCAACTGCTTTGTTTTTGGGATGCAGAATTGCAAGTTTGTATCACCATGAAATGTTCAGAGATTCAACTCTTAACAAATAATATCACTAACTTTTTCAAAGAAGGCAAGGATACCATGAAATATTTTCATGGACGAAATTGCCACCTGTTTTTATTATTTAGTCTTTCAGAATAGATGCCTTGGTTACTTGTAAGAATGTAAGATGCACTCATCAGCTCATGCTTGTAAATACAGTTGTCGTATAATTGTAGACCTGTAGTAACTTGTAAGATACTACATATATAATACCCTAAAGTTGCAGAAAGACTTGCTAGTAGGTAGTAGCAATCCCATGCTGGACATGGTGAAATATGGATCAGTTATCAACAGCTTTTGTGCCAAGGTACTAATGAGGTAGTGCCGAAGAAGCTTGTTGGAGACAAACTTTCTGCAATAGTACCATTCATATGGTGAGTTTTCTGCTTTTCATCTAATTCAGTACCTTTAGTTATCTAAATGTCCCTATCACTGCATTTCATTTTAAAACTGACGCTTTCAAATTTCTTGTGGATGAGAAGTTTAGATCTAACTTTGATTCATAAATAGAATGACCAGCGTTAACATTTTTTTTGTCTATGAGAATCATTTCTTGCTATTCTTGTTCCAAATTTTGGAAATATTCCCAATATAAAGTAAGGTTCTTATGGTTTTAATGATAAAACGGTTAAGTTTTTTGGTCTCATCTTGCAAACTTTTCTTCTCATCCACATAAAATCTGCATATATGATGAAGCAGTCATAAATCCAATTACACACACTGCCTCATATAAAAAAACTAGCATTGCACACGCCACTGCAGTGAACACACTGTTGCATATCCAAAACTAAAATTCCACACGCCACTGCAGTGAAGTAAGGAGTCCAATCACAGAGAATCCTATATTACAAAAGGATAAACTCATTTTCTATGTTAGTTCATCATGTTCAGTACTGTTGAGGAGAAAGCTTGCTGAACTCCTGCTTCTGCATTCTGATGTTATGCCCTTTCCTGGCATTCCCATCTGCAATGAGAACATCATCTATCCATGAGACAATATTGTAGGCTAAACTTTCCAGCACCCTCGAGTAGCTTTCAAGTATTGCCTGCCCAATGTCCTGTAGCAAAGTAAAATGGAGACACGCCAGCATTAGCAATGATGAACATTCTTTGATCCAAAGGAGATGGCTCAATCAGTTATTTCGTATATGTTTGTATGTTTATACCATGTATGATAGTTCTAAATATTTTGTATTAGCATTCAGTATACTTCTGTCTCTTAAATTGTAGAATAAACACACAGTACACTTTTATGTTTTTGCTTCCAACATTAATCATATCTGGTGTAAGGAAAATACAGATGAACTCTGAGATAATCTGAAATTTGGGTATTTCTTATGTATAAGCATTACCTTGTTGTACTGAATCTTGCTTGTGTCCAGGGTAGTCTGTGACAAGCCTGGAAACCTCTGCTTCAAGCACAACAACAAACTCCTAGCCCTACTTGCAAGGATCAGATTCTTGTCCCCATCAGCATTCAGCTCAGTAACATTTTCCCATTTTGACACCACATGGGTCATGCTTGCTTTTCTCCGCCATACGTACATCGCAGCCTCAACACGGTCTGCAATCTCAAGTGCCTCATGTTCTGAGCTCAAGTTGAGGAAGTTGAGGAGGTGGTCTGGTGAGAACTGATCCCCTGCAGACATGTACCGGTATATGGCATCACCCACGCCAACCTTCCCACTCTGTTGAGTAGCAGAAATGCATTTATCAGGGGGAAATGATAATTTCAGTAATCAGGACCATAGAAAGACCCAGATCAAGCAGTTTCTCTGTACCTTTGGCAGTGTTTCTATGTATGACAGTGGAACCTGCATTTCAGAGAGGATGCCGCTGTTGATCTCCATGGCCATCTTGTGGATTTGGCTTGCTTGGTCCCTCTTTTGTTGCAGCTCACGGTGCATCCGATCAGACAGGCCTGACTCTGGGACACATGGTTCAGGGAGCCACCACTTGTCCTCGCTGCGCTGAAACTTCATGCTGTCACTGAAGGACTGCTTTCTCTGATCTATGTACCAGAAATCTGTCTTCTCAAAGCTATCCAATATTTCCTGCAAAAATGGTGTGCAATTATTGGTCATACATTGTACTACAAAAGTTGTTCGAAAGGAGCCTTCCGGAATTCCGCAAATCGGGACTTTACCAGGAGCATAGTTTCCAGTTTTTCAAGTGCTGGAAGGTTCATTAGTATGTCTGATCTTGGTGAGGTTGCCATCACCTGTAGAAAACAGAAATTTGTGCCTAAGTAGACATGCCATGAAGATGAAACTTATCAGAGTGTGAGACGTGATATTCTTGCAATGGAATTACATCATGAGTGCTTCCATCTGGCATGGCCTGGACTTTTGGTGAGAATTCAACAATGTATTCGCAGATGGAGAGGAGGCAGTCCATCTCCCTGTTCCACATCGCCTTCTTCTCAGGAGGCAGTGGCTGCAACCTGTGGCAGGTTCCAAACACAGTTGCTGCAGCCAAGAACAAGCACAGAGGTCAACCCACTGTTGCCTGCATCAAAGACCAACTTAACAGAAGATTCATCTGCAATTCTCAGAACTACCATATAGATTGGTGATGGCATTGGAGATGGCCACAGCCGTGCAGACACCCTTCCCACTCCCAGACATGTCCTCTCCAAGAAGCAGCTTGGTGTACTTCTCCTTCATCAGCTCCATCTCTGAACAACACCCATCAATCAACCACCAGAAACACCAGAGGACACTACCAGAAATCAAAACAGGTTGGCATATCTATACCTTCATCCTCCAGGGACTTCTCGTTCACAACTTGCTGCAGCTTCTTCATGCTGAGCTTGCTCACCGATGGCGAGAGGCGTGGTGCCGTGGACGTCGTGCGGCTCATGCTTCTCCCTCGTGGCGGCGATGGCGTATAGTGCTCCTGCTCCTCGCCACCGCCATTGTCGGAGAACGACGACACACGGAACAGCGGTCGCGCGTAGTCGCGATCGTAGCCGTGTTTGTGGAAGCCAGGGAAGCCTGAACCTCCACTCATGGTTGCAGCTGTTCTTGCTGCCTGCTTCTGAAGACCTGCAAGAAAGACGATGAATGGGAATGGCACAAGAATGGAGGCATGCCAAGAACAGAGAGGATAGGTACCTGGTGTTATTGACTTGCTTTCCCTTTTTTGGTGATCATGTCATGGCTGTCACTTACAAGTGTATGGAACAATAATAAAGGCATAGGGGCTATCTTTCCTTGACATGGGCTGTTGCAATCAATATGGTTTGCAATTATGCAGGCATGTGAGCGATTTGCCCCCACAGTGTAGGACAATAAGGTTGGATTGGTTGGATGTCTTGCAGGTTTGGTGAATGTGTTAACTGTCAGGAAGGTACAAAATTTTGGCACTTGGTGCTGTCACATTGTACCCAGATTTTGACTCACATTTTCGGTGACCATCTATTTCTTCAATTTAAGTAATTGCCTCTCAAATTGTCTGGTGGATTTGGAATGTATTTATTGCCTCCATTTATTTGGAAATGCATGGTTGTTTTTCACCGAAAGAGAGTATGCAGTGTATTCATGTAATTACTTCACAAAAAGACAGAGTAGCCTATGAATGGTTGGGACTTGGGAGTTGAAACGAATGGTGAACATCTTTAATTTCTAACCCATACCTAAGCTACATTTATTTATTTTTACTTCAGTTTCCTTGCATAAATGACATTGTCCTCTATTCCAGCTCATGGAGGCTGTGTCGGCATGTGAACCACGCTACACATATGGTAATGTTTTTTCCACATTTGATCTGCCAATGTATCGTAGAGAGATGTTATTGTCCTGGATTCCTCCTGGTTATAAGCAGGGTTCAGACAAGACAACCAGCACAAACCGTTTTCCAAAAAAGAGATTATAAATCCAAAGTACGTAGTACTACTCTATGCAAATATTAGATGTAGAATACCCATAAATATCAGAGAAAAATTCAGGCATCTTCTACCCTAAAGTCTCTATGAAAAAAAAAACTCTTTTTGTCTGAAAAACCAGCGGAAAATTTGCTCTGAACCGGTTCTTGGATCTGAATCAGCAAGTTTTTTTTTTCACTCCTCTGTTTTTGTAACCAAAGCCTATAGGTCATATAAATATGATCCTGTGGGCAAACAATCTTCCCAAATACGTTCTGGGACCAAAGGGATGATGCTTCTCAAACATGCAATCCATAAACCGGTCCATTTGATTCAGAAGACTTCTAAGCAAAGCCACATCTATCTATGAAACTTAGTGCTTGCCATGATCGTCTATCATGATGTATTTTAAATGCTACCTAGGCAAACATAATGGCTGTCACGTAGTAGGATATATAAGAACAGCTCAATCTCTGGACCCCGAATATAAAATAGGGAAGGAGTGGAAGCCCAATCTGAAGAAACTAACTAAAATCCCTTACAATCTTGGAAGACACATGAAAAGTAGGAAAAATCTCTCACGAACTCATTAGAAAGAAGGAAAAATCTCTCACAAGCACATTTGAATTCTACACGTACGAGTACAATATATCAAGGGATGATATGATCTATTTGTAAGAGATTTTGGCTTTGAGAGCCAGTTATTATTATTTTTTTTGGGTTCTCACAGGTATTACAAGGTGATATTGTCTGGTGGCAATAATCAAGAGGCATAGTTCTATGTCTGTTTTTTAATATATGGCGTCATTGTTTTTTTATCATTTATTTTATTTAAAAGTTGTGTGCAAATATAAAAAATTTAAGTAATGCTTAATAAGACGAACGACCAAACGTTTATCAACGACGTCATATATATTAAAAAAAATAGAGGGAGTACTAAGAAAGATAGATCGTACAGGAATAGCAAAATTAAGGAGCCTAAAAACTGAAATCGCTAATTCGCGATCCGTCAGATTATTATTTTTTTTTGCCAGCACGAATTGGGCCGGATTTTCTATTTTGCGTGTTTAACGATTGGGTTTTCTCTTTTTTCCCCCTTTTTAAGTCCATGTCCATTTTCTTTTGGGCTTTTGACCTTTTCTCATTTCAGGTTTCTAGGGTAGGTAGGCTGAATTCAAATGTTGGGCTAGGCATGCCGGCCTCACAGCCCACGTACCTTTTGTTTTTCTTTTCAAATTTTCTTGTGAATTCGTATCAAATTTATACGTACGTGTACAAAGTTTATATTTTTTACGTATACTAAAAAGTTTGTAAGAGATTTTGGCTTTGGAGCCAGTCTATTATTTAATGGTTCTCACAGGGTATTACCAGGTGATTTTGTCTGGTAGCAATAATCAAGAGGTATAATTAATATGAAGGTAATGAATCGTACACGAACAGAAAAATTAAGGAGCCCAGAAACTACTACTGCCTCCGTCCCAAAATATAACAACTTTTAGTCCTTATAATTTGTCCCAAAATATAATAACTTCTCCACTAACATTCTCTTCCCAACCAATCACAACCCTCCACCATTCACTTTTCCCACCTACCTCCACTACTCATCCAATCACAACTCTCCACCACTCACTTCTACCTACTTTCTTAATAACCGTGTCCAACTCTAAAACTTCTTATATTCTGGGACGGAGGGAGTATCTATTTTCGATGCTGAACTCGACTGATTATGTACATATACCGTAGCAATCGTTCAACCATCGGTCACACTTGTGCAATTTTACCAAAGGGCTTAGGCGTTCACTTGTTTCGGACTTATCGAAACATCACAATAGTTTGTCAAACTCGATTCATATGTACCGAGATATTTCACTCTAATATTTTGTTACAAATTACTCTTATATTTTGTGACAAATTACATGATCATCACAGCAGTTCTCATTGGGATTACCTAATTTGAATTGCTCCAAATTTTGACGTACTAGCATTACAATGTCCAACAGCCCAACACATCCCATTGGGTATGTGCATCCTGACTAACATCATACTCCACTCCATTTCCTCCAATAGCTAGCACATCATTTGAATGCTTAAACCATGCATGGTATGCCTCAACTCAGCCTCAGTTATTGCAGAGAGGCAGTGCCCGCTTATTGCGGGCTAAGCCCTGGTGACTATGCGGTGGAAGGGTTGTAAGTTCGCAGCGTTGGTGGTGGTGGTGGTGGTGGTCAGCAGCGGTGCCAAGAGGGGTAGGGGAGGTGGTGCTGGTAGAGCAGGTCAACGATAATGGCTTGGAGGCGACGGCTTGCTGACAAGATAGGCTATGATGGTAGCTCAACAGAGTCTTCCAGCGACGACGCCTATGGCGGCAATGACTCTTCGGCAAGATAAGCTATGACAGTTTGACAGTTGTTGTGGTTTAAAATGACAACGACGTGTTAATGGCAGTCTTCTGGTGATATAAGCTTTAGCAGCTCGACGGAGTGGTGATAGATAACCACTTTTGGCGAGATAAGCTTTAGCAGCGATGGAATATGTGGAGTAGATTGGTCAAGAGGCGTGAGTTTTTTCTTGGCAACTGCAAGGTAGTTGGCAGACTACTATTATCCCCTTCCTTTGCTCAATGGCGGATCAAAGGAACTTTTGTAGTTGATGCAACGATAGTGAGATGGTGTGGCAATAGTAATGCAGGCTAGCCCCGCATCTCCTTATAGTTCTAAGTGAGGAAGAAAAGTTTAGGGTTAGTCTTCTAGTTTTTGTTTCCGGTTGTTCGTTGGTTTATGTTTATCGGTTATGAAATTTAGAATGTCAGCACTCGTGTAATCTTTGGCTGTTTTATATCCATTTATGGAAAATAGAGGCCGGATTTCTATCCATTATCTAAAAAAACTCAGCCTCTACTTCATTGAGAGCCTCACTTCCCCAGTTAACCTCAAGCATGCAGATGCAAGTGGTGCAACTTAATCCCCTTATTTTGCCCATCCTTCATCAACAATCCGCATTGAGAATTTCGAAGAACTAGTCCTCTATGAAAAGGGATGCAAATTGTGGTACCAAACTCCTAATCTAAGGACACATGGTTCATCAAAATTATAGGCAACACAATTTTTTTAATTGTCCATCATGACATCCTTCTTCCATTATTATTCCATTATATGATAATAAAACTTTTTATGGTGTTTGGTAGCTACTTAGATATTCAGAAATGAAACAATGTAAACCATTCATTAAGATATGGATAAGGTACGAAATAAAGCTATTCTAGTTTTATCTCATTATTCATTGTCGAGGTACCTATTTAGGTTACGACAAATGACATACGATTAGATTTTACACATCGAACAATAGATTCACTCTCACTTTGTTAACAGGCCTCCCGGACCGTAGTTTCAAAAAAGAAAAACCAATCCCAACAAATCAAAATTTAAATTTTCTCTACTCACTATAATACCATCTATAAACAAGGCTGTTGTAGATCATAGATACCATCCATTTTCATTTTCATGATAGTATTTATTTCCTCAATTTACATCCCTCCCAATACATACAACCACTCCACCAGTCCATCATCAGTACTAGTACTAAACTTGGAAAAAAAAACAAGAAAAAGGTGAGCAAAACATTTTTCTAAACAGAAAGCAACCAACCGCAGTCCACAGCACACGTGGGACTCTGAACAACTTCTCCTCTCTTCTCTTCTCTTCTCTTCTCTTCTCTTCTCTTCCATGCCAAAATTGGATTTTTTATTTTGGTCTGCCTCTTTCTTTCCCCCACCTTGACCTGTAGTTGCCGCCGGCCGGTCATCCTCCCTGAGCTCACCTTAATCTTGCCTGACCTCCAAGAAAAGTAGCTAAACGCTGCTAGCTACCGTGGCCTCCCTCTCTCTCGCTTCGCTTCCCCTGAGGCTTCACCTACTCGTCGTCGTCTCCGATGCCTTCGTCCTCCCCACCGCTCCGAGGTAGTCCTACTAACAAAGGCCGTACCTTTGCCTTCCCCTCTTCAGTCTTCTTTCTTCCCCGTGGAGGCTTCCCTTGCTTTGTGAGTTCTTGTTTCGATCTCTTGCCCTGGAAGTGAAGTTTTTGATTGGGTAGTTTGTGGGTGGTTATTGAGAGAGAGAGAGAGAGAGAGAGAGAGAGAGAGGCGTAGAGCAGTTGCGGCAAAATCGGTGGTGTTTTGGTAGAGAGGTTCTTGATTTTGGATTATGCGGTTGCGGCGGTTGGAGGATGGATCCCTAGCTTAATCGATGAATTTCTTGGGGGCCGGGAATTCGATCTTTTATTATCCCTGAAATTTCTGTGTAGTGTTTCTTGTTTTCAGATATATTTTTCAGTACTCTCTTTCTTGGTTTTTGAGGTAGGTAGTCCGCCGTCAATTCTTATCATGGAATTCCTCGGTAGAAACACCCAAATTCCAATTTGTTTTGTGATCGAATTTAACAGCAATCTCAATTAATTGTTAGAATACTGAACCCGGTTAAACTCTTCTTGGAACCTCCCTGAATAACCCAACATTTTGTTTTTTTGCAGGCCTTCCACTGTTCAGTGTCTCACCTCTGAACTCTGAAGCTCCACTAATGTGATGTCAATCGCATGCTGCTTGCCGGTTGTCGAGTGCGTCTACTGCCTGGCGTGCGCACGGTGGGCGTGCCAGCACTGCTTCCACACCGGAGGCTATGACAGCGAGACCTGGGGCCTTGCCTCGCCGAATGAGTTTGAGCCGGTGCCGCGGCTATGCCGATTGATTCTCACGGTGTATGAGGATGACCTTGAGCACCCGCAGTGGGCGCCTCCTGGGGGATATGGCATTGAGCCACGGTGGGTGGTGCACCGGAAGACATATGAGCACACTGGTGGACATGCCCCGACATACTTGTTGTATGTTGATCACCACCATTCGGATGTCGTGCTCGCTGTCCGTGGGATGAACATGGCGAAGGAGAGCGACTACGCCGTGCTGTTGGACAATTCGCTCGGCCAGAGGAGGTTCGACGGCGGCTATGTGCACAATGGGTTGCTCAAGGCTGCTGAGTGGTTGTTTGATGCTGAGTGTGATGTGCTAAGGGACCTTCTGGAGAGGAATCCTGGTTACACGCTCACTTTCGCAGGCCATTCTCTTGGTTCTGGTGTCGTGGCGATGCTTGCGCTGGTAGCTGTGCACAATAGAGACCGGCTGGGTGGTGTTGAGAGGAAGAGGGTACGGTGCTTTGCCATGGCACCTGCCAGGTGCATGTCACTCAATTTGGCAGTCCGTTATGCAGATGTCATTAACTCAGTTATTCTCCAGGTGAGATTAATTCCATCATTTTTTTTAGATAATGGAATAGAATCCCAGCCTTTGCTCAATGAGCTACAGCCAATTATTACATCAATTCATAGAAATAAAAACGCATGGCAAAAAAGTCATAAAAACATAGGCCTAAAAGGACAGGAACACACTCAGTACTAAAAACCAACGCAAGAAAAGATCACAATTAATTCCATCATTAGATGTTGCCAACATGTGTTTATATACCTCTTTTCCAATTGTAAATTATGTACCTCATTTGCATGTGATTGTGCATGAAATTTCATAGGTAAATTTCTTTCGGAAGTAAAACTGTAGGAAACACTTTACCATTCCCACCTGCTTTCATAATTTGTTTGATCAACAAGTTCAACTGAAATCTGTTTTCTGATTCATATTTTATTAGAACAGGATGATTTTCTGCCTCGCACAGACACTCCTTTGGAGGATGTATTCAAGTCACTTGTCTGGTAATGGAACTTTTTCTTATGTGTAGTGAACACTTGAACTCGTATTTGTAGAGATTTATGATCTTCTTAGTCTATCTTTTCAGGGTACCTGATGTAGTCCTTTGTATACAGCTTGCCATGCCTTTTATGTGGAAGGTGCCTTATAGACACGTGTATACCTGAAAGTGCGATGTTGAGAGATCCAAGACGTCTCTATGCACCAGGCCGCCTTTATCACATTGTTGAAAGGAAACCATTCAGGTACGACTTCCAGTCAGTTCTAACCATACAAGTAATTTTATTATCTGTTAACACAAGAATAACTATGCAAATATATTCAGTATATGCTTATATTCATCTTCATAATAACAATATAATATACTAACTGCAATACACAACTAAATGCTCAGGGAAAATATTCTTTCAGTTTTTACTTTTTCTAATTTTGATACCTCAAGTTTAGAATAAATATTCCATTGAACGCTTGCTGGTAGCTGCAGATGTGGAAGATATCCCCCTGTTGTAAGAACAGCTGTTCCGGTGGATGGCAGATTTGAGCACATTGTGCTATCTTGCAACATGATTTCTGATCATGCTATTATCTGGATCGAAAGAGAAGCTCAAAGGGGACTAGATGTAAGTCTGAATTTGTTGTTCTCTTCTTGAGTATTCTACCATGACAAACAGATAATTGTTTCTGGCGTGTAGAAAAATGGTAACTAATTCTAGTTCTCTTATATCCATACTGCAACCTATGGATCGTCATTATTTATTTCACAGACGATGGAGCTTAAAAGTATTAGAAACAAACTAGGAATATAGCCCGCGCACATGCGCGGGCATCTTATGAGATGTTGTTTTAAATTGTGTTAAGAATGTTTTATGTGTGGGTGACTTTTCTTAAAATTTTTCTTTGACACTATTGTAAACGTGTTTTTGTCACTAATTTGTTTGGGATTGCGTTGAATGTTGGTTATTATTTTCTTATATTTATCCTTGGAAGTTTAAATTCTAAATTAAAATTAATTGGAACTACGCCGTTTTGAAACTATGAGAAAATATGGTGTCATAATAATGGAGCTGGTTCTTATAAAACTATGATTTGCACTATGTGTATTTACTTTTTAATATTTAGCATATCTTATCTTTTTTATGTTTCTATGCTTTAAGTAACAAAATTGCTTTTATACCATATATGTATTTATGAATTTTTGGATATATTAAGTGAATATATTTTCTATTAAAAAATATGGTTAATAGGAATGTTTCATCTAATTAAAAAAACTTCTATTAATTTGCTTCTATTCTCTTCTCTTTTTTTTCATACGTTTTCTTATTTTCTTTGAAAAATAAAATTGATTTGAAAGAATAGCACAATCATATAAATTTAATTAGTATGTGTAAAGCGTTTATAAATATTTAAGTGCCATGGGCTAAATTGCACTTTTGTTGGATCAATTCTTTTTATCAAGTATGTTCTACTGCATGCATTCTCATATATAAGTTTAGTATGATTTCCCCTAATAAACCAATCTTAGTATGAAGTTCCCATATACCATGCGTACTTAATAGAAAGCAAAGAGAGAAAACATGACTTGTAGTTTGTCTATTATTTTATTATTATTTAGAGGATTAATATAGTCTCTAAAATGTAGAACAATGGTAGTGGTAAATATGATTGATACATTAGGTTATCCCGGTATATACGGATCAATAGTATGGACCCTATATATAAGCATATTTAAACGATGATATAATCTATATCATTATTTTTTTCATGATTTGTCAAATCTCCAATGCCATGCAAAGTACCAAGATTTGTGAACTGATAACCGATATATAGTGATATAATTTATATTGTCATCTATTTTCCATAATTTTCATATCTGTTTGCATTGGATTACATGAAAAGAATAAAAATACTATCTAAAATATAATTTCCTTTCACAAGTTGAAATATAGTAAATATACATAATAAATTATTAATTTAATGGTAAATAATATAATTATGTAAACTTTGTTTTAAAATGCGGTAAAGCTAATCGAGTTATGCTTGTTTGTAAAGTGATTTAAATAATTTGTTAAATCCGATAGATGTTTTGTGTTTTTCTTAGACTTTCTAGGATTTTCTCTAATTTATTAGACTTTTATTATATGATTGAGGCTCTTTGGATGGCACACAAAAGCAAAGTATAGGTCCGCATGTCTGTTTTCAAAATATACATGGTTTTTCATTGTTGTTATTTTGGCCATGCATATTTATAAAGTTCTATACTTAATAATCTACACGGTAAATTTTGTTTTGTATACTTTTATGAGTAATTGGATGGTGTAAAAAAGAGCAATAATCTAAGTCAACATGTTAGTCTTTTTCACAACATATACGGGTCTTAAAATTGTTGGTTTAATTGCCAGGAATACAACTTTTGAATTAGCCTTTTTAATATAATAATCCAATGATAGGGTTTGTCGGCCGAACGTAATCTTTTTTGACACGCAACACGTAAATACGAACTACGTATTAGAGATCGGATGAGTGATTAGCCGGATTGATCTATATACATGGGAAAAGAAAAAAAAGAAGGTAAAATACGTACGTACGTTCATCCTTTTTTTTTTATCTCTACGTACGTTCATACTGAACGGAAGGAATAGTGAGATATGTAAGGGAGGAGGAGGTTGGTGGGTCATCGGTTTGTTTTAAGAGATCTAATCTAACGGTTTATAATATTGGACCCACCGATTTAAGTGAAAATCGATGGATAGATGTTTTGTTTTTTCCTCAGTTTTTCTATGATTTTCTCTAATTTATTAGAGCGCCAAGTGGTGGCTTGAGAGCGTTTTGAGGAAGTTTAATGGACTTTTAGTATATATTTAAACTAAATATATGATATTTTGCGGGCATGCGTTGTATGGTAGGTTTGAGACACTTATAAAAGCGAAATATTAACCGGAGAATATCTGCCATGATTTCTTTATAAATTGTTTTCATCGGCATTAATTGCTTTTATAATTTTCTAATCTGTTACCTTTATATTATATTATATTTAAGTAATAAATGAGTCAGTCCTGTCTCGTTTATTCGATGATAATAATAATACTAATATAAATACTAATCTGTGAAAACAATTTGGAGATACAAAATCACCTTACAGTAAAAACAAATACTAATAATTAAACCACAAAAAATTGCAACTACACATATATCTGAAATTCCGACACAACACGGCTGATTGATCACCCTGTCACTACCCAACCCCAGAAATCAAATTTGGAACTACTAACATGAGGATTATTGTGTAATCTATTTCTTGAATGATCGATCACTGAGGTCGATTTCAGGAGGTGGCGTTGAAGCTGAGGAGCTTCGACGTCTTGGACTCGATCCGGGGATGCCTAGCCCGGTTTTTTATACTCCGATCTACAATACTACTATATGGTAGAAGATAATAATGTATTTGATTATATAAAACAATGGTTCATCAAACAAATTAGAAATTGAATATATTACTTAATTTAGAGTTATAAGCATTAATAACTATCTAATTATTACTTTTTTTATATATTTAGTTGTTAGTTGAAAAATAAGAGAGATTAGTTAGAAAATATGAGATGGGAGGGAAGAGTCGGTGGACATTCATATTGGGAGGAGGGGGCACATACGTAACTTAACTGAGGGGGAGGTTAAAACTTATTTAATCATAATAGATTCAATGAATTTAAATAGTGGGCCCGCTGGTTTTTTAAGTACCACGTGGCTTTGTAGGAGTGTTTTTAGAAGTCCCATGTAACGGCTTGAGAGTGTTTATAGTAAGTTTAATGGACTTTTATGATGGTAGGCATGCATGTATGTTATAAGTATGTATTTGAAAAACTTATAAGGACTGAAAATCAACCATATAGCCAAGCTTCAGAAGTACGTTTTCTTCATAAATTTATTTGTCATCTTTGCTTAAATAACTTTTATTAGGTATTTGTTGTCTTTATACTATGTAATATTTAATTCATATGTATAAGTAATTATTATTTTCTTCTTCACCATTTAAAAAGGAGGTAGACTTAGGCTGAGTTATTTCCCCAACTTTCCCAACTCACTTTCCCTTTGTTTTCCACATGCACGCTTTCAAACTGCTAAACGTTATGTTGTTTTGCAAAACTTTTCTATACAAAAGTTGCTTTAAAAAATCATATTAATCTATTTTTCAAAAAAATAATAGTAAACACTTAATTAATCATAAGAAAATGCGTCACTCCGTTTTGCATGCGTGGGAGGTGAGTACCCAACCTCATCTCCACACAGCCTTAGTTTGTCTAGAAAACATGTCTGAAAGTACAAATTAAAAATAAGGTGCTTTTTATTTTTGAATTGAATGTTTTGGGACTTTTTTTTAACAAATATTTAAAAAATATTATTGTTTATAATGTACCATCAAGCTAACCCTCCTTTTAATTGATTCATAATAACGTAATTTGTTATTTATATACAGCCTTAGTATGTTTAGAAAACATGTCTAAAAGTTCAAATTAAAAATAAGGTGCTTTTTATTTTTAAATTGAATGTTTTGGGACTTTTTTTTAACAAATATAAAAATATATTATTGTTAATAATGTACCATCAAGCTAGCCCTCCTTGTAATTGATTCATATTAACGTAATTTGTTATTTATATATACACATGGATCAATAAAGATGGATTAGATATACTTATCCTGATCTTTCTTTCGGGAGACATGCACATGTACGTACGACATTAGAAGGAGAGGAGTTTTGTTTCCTTTGAGATAGATCAAATGGTTTCACCAACTTAAGTTATCTATATTTACAAACATAATAGTGACCCAAAGTAATGTACTTATTAAATATCTATTTTTTAATTAAAACTTTTTATTATTGCATATTGTTCTGTTAAAATATATGTGTTGTTAAATAGATCGTTAAAATATCAATGCTTTTCCCTATAAATGTGTTTTATTTCTTTTACTTACTAAATATAGTTACTTTGGGTCTTGAATTATAAATTTTGTGGTAAATAATCTAATGATGAATTATGTATTTTCTATATAATATAGTATGAGAGGATGGAAGGATGTATGGCGTAAGTACGTGTACTGGTGCACGTAAATGATACGGATTTAAAGTGGGTCCACCGTATTTAAAGTTGTAAATGATACGGATTTAAAGTGGCTCCACCGTATTTAAAGTTTTCCTTTTTAAGAATTATTAGATATTCCTCAAATTTATTAAAATGCCACATGACGACTTAAGAGCGTTTGTAGGAGTTTCACGTGGCGGCTTGAGAGCGTTTGTAGAAAGTTTAATGGACTTTTAGTATATAATAGATAGATAACGTTAGTATTCATCTCTGGCGCCTTGTTTTAGTATCAGCTCTCTTAATCATCGACACAAAAAAATATTTAGTTTTTCGTCAACTGTAGGTTCTGTCATGAGCTTTCTTTACAGAGCACAAATGATGTGTAGACTAACAGTCTTGTCATTTCAGTTGATGCTGGAGAACGAGAGAACCATGAAGCCACCTGAGACGCAAAGAATGGACGATGAAATCGCCATCGAGAGGGATCATGATGAGGAGCAGAAGGCGGCATTGAGGCGTGCCGTTGCTCTAGGGGTCGCAGATGTTAATGTGCCATCAGCATATGGTACATTCAGTGAAAATCTGACTCCTGAGGCTGATGAGGCCTCTCCGGTATTGCCCGACAGTGGACTGCGAAGGACGGTCTGGGATGAGTGGATTGCAAGGATATTTGAGAAGGATGAATCTGGCAAAATGATTCCACGAACATGATTATGGTAGAACAGGGCATTATGCTATGAAATTAGGAAAAAAATAATAAATAAGTATGCAGGCAATATAATCTGAGCCGATTATTATTGGCATCAGTTCATCTTCCAGCCTGTTCAAGTCTGTTTTCAAAACCTTGAAATGGTGATGGAAGGAAATAGGAATTGTTGGCAGAGCAATGATGTGAAATCTGATGCAGTTTCAACCTCAGAAACAAAGATCCTAGTAGATGATATGGGGCCTGTTTGGATCGGAGGGCTATTTATTTATTTATGAGTATTAAACGTAAATTACTGATAAAACCCATTCCATAACCCCTAGGCTATTGTGCGAGATGAATCTAACGAGATATATTAATCCATGATTTGCTACAGTGATCATCCGCTAATCATGGATTAATATACCTCGTTAGATTCGTCTCGCAAAATAGGCTAGGGGTTATGGAATGGGTTTTGTGAGTAATCTACGTTTAATACTTCTAAATAGCAAGATTCCGGAGGGATATTTAATAGCTTGGAGGAGCCAAACAAGGCCATGGTCGCACGGATGTAAATGACTCCATCCATCCTAAAATAATAGCAAACTATAGTTTAGGATGAAGGGGGTAGGAATTAACAAAAGGGAAGGAATATAGGTGAAAATTGATATAGGAATTAGCAAAATGGAAGGAATATAGGTGAAAATTGATATAGGATTACATATATTTGTTATCAGAAAATGTCCTTTATACACACAATTGATTAAGTAATTAGTTGTACAGTAAGCTATTAAGGAGAGTAAGATTTGTATGCAAACCATGAGATAAAAAAGAGGGGCATCCTATCTTTTGGTAAATTTTCAGCCAGAAAGTACGAACTTTGTTATTATCAAGACAGTGGAATGCTGCAAATAGTCTTCTCTCAATCTTTAGTTATTAAGCGTACCATTTGTTCTTTTAGAACTCATGAACTTTATTGAAGGAAATGCTTAAAAGCACAGTACATGAATGATGTTAACTTCTCCACAAGGAGATTACAAAGGTTGCCTAAGGTTGGGCAACTTGCAAAATAGCAGGCAAAGCATGACAAGAAAACTATTATGACAAGAAAGTTATTAGGAGAAGAGGTTCTTGCTTTATGTCAGCATGTTTATTGGCCTCCCTTGGAATCCATCTGATTGCGATTTGTTTACCTGCAGATAAAGCATGCAATTCAAAGAGTAATGATCTCAAAGACCAATTGTCTTGGTTGAGCAATGAAATCTTGCTGCTGTAAGGTTGAGACTAAAGTTTTATTGTCTGACAGGAAAAATGTATGCTGTAACTGTAAAGCCAAGCAAAATTTTGTAACCTGAAACAAATGCTGCAAGATCAACAAGAGGAGAAGTAAAGCTCTTCGAACGTGCTTTTATTAAGGTTACTGCGTGTGAACCAGGATCATGTATAAAAATGCCAAAATCTGATATATTAATTTTCCAAGAAGCATCAACATAACAAAGAGTACAGTACCTGAAGGGATAATCAAGTTAACATAAGGAGAATGTTGTTCAGTTTGTGTTACCTCCGAAGAATCATGTTGTGTTTGATGAACACTATTATAACTTTGCACCATGGAGATGGTTGCATTACAAACCTGAAAAGGCTCCCAATTTTTTGCTTTAAAATTATGATCATTCATAGCTTTTCAAATTTGCCAAAGCATAATAGCAATTTTTTGAAGGGCATTATCTGTGGACATAGTAGCTAGGAGGTAAGAATAATATCATACATAGATGTCATCAAGCTAAGAGCATCCGTTTTATGTTGAAAATCAAAGATAAACCAAACTAGTCTACTAAAGCAACAGTGCAAAAAGATATGAGTTTCGTTTTGTTGTTGACCGCATGTGGAACAAGTAGGTTCAATGTCCTTGATTCTAGAATGAAGAGTAACAGCAGTAGGTAAAGCGTTTCTGAAAAGTGTCCAAAGAAGAATTTTAACTATAGGAGAAATTGTCTTATTTTTCCAAGCAGATTTAATAAGATTGATAACTAAGGAAGGAATAGGATGATGATTATAATGGAAAGACTTGAAAACTTCTTTGTAAGCACTTTTAGTATTACACTCAGCAGAAGAAGTGTGAATCCAACAAAGCTTATCTTCTGTATCCTGATGAATTACTCTTACATGGGATATAGAATTTGTAGCCTCCTTAGCAAAGACTTGAGAAATTTTATCAAAGTCATAATTTTTGTTTTGACCCCACAAGCCATCGAAGGTAAATGATTAGGAATATTAGTCGGATTTAAGGATCATGAATAATTTCTCAAATAGAACACTAGGGTTGATTCTAAATAGAAACCTAACCTTTAGAAATTTGCCCAATACATGAAGTGAAAAGGTATTTTCGGATTTTAGAAATGGAAGACCAGAGAGTTGACTGGGAAACATTAAAAGGAGCTTTCCAAAAGGAAGCATTGTTGAAATATTTGGTTTTGAGAATAGAGGAGACTAGGCCCCCTTTTTTTTTTCTTAACTCCAAACTTTAACTTTCTTGTTTTCCATTAGCACACCTTTTAAGTTGTTAAATGGTGCATTTTTTTTAAAAAAGTTTCTATATAGAAGTTCTTTTAAAAACAAATAAATCTATTTTAAAATTTATAATAAATAATACTTAATCAATTATGTGCTAATGAGGTTTCTCGTTTAATTGCATAACATGTACTTTGTATAGATAATTGCTTAAACAGTGAAGAAGTGATTTAGGTGCTGACATTTTTCAGTTGCAAGGCAAGTCCTACCTCCCTCTTTCTTTGATCACTTTGAACCTATGTTTTGGAGGTTATTAAAAATGTTGGCAAATCTTGCATGTCGATTGTACATTAATAAATTAAAATTTTGTTAAATTTGTTAGACAAACTCCTATTATTTGCATTATCGCCTTAACCCCACATATATCCATATCCCTCATTCCTAACCTTAGGAATCATATTCTATTACTATTACTACTTGGAATATGAGTTATATTGTCACTAGTTTACTATATTGCTTAGCCATGCTTAGAATGGTTTTACTTATCACTTGGACTCATATTAACATAAAAAATGATTTTATTAAGATTCTGAACAGAGTTGAATAAATGAAGTATTTGACAAATAAAATGATGGAAAATGAATTTTAGATTTGGGGCACATATGATGAACAAAAATCAATCTCCAAAACACCACACGTGGAACGGAGCCTAAATCATTAGGTTTAGAAACAATTCTCCAACACAGACTGTTTGAGTGAGAAGACCTCGATTAAACAGCCAAAAGGACGGACAGCCATTTATCGGTTACTCCGACCAAAAAAATAAAATAAATCAGGAAACAGTCTCTGCTTGCTTGCGTAAGCTGACGACAGCCACGACCCAATCTTCGCTGCGGTTGACTTTAAATTAAAACGACGTGGACGCCAACAAGCTCTCGTTTCCTCCGATCGACTAGCCGGCGTTGGAAGCCACGCCACCGCCGCCGCCATGATCGCCACGGCGGCGCTGCCGCCCGCCGCGCGCTCGGCGGAGGCGCTCGCCGCGGAGGTCGGCGGCCACGCCCACGCGGCGGCGGACGAGCTGCGGGGGCTCGCGCGGAGGCTCGACGCCGTGGGGGCGGCCGCGGCGGGGGCCGAGGCGAGGGAGGCCCGCGACGCCGGCGCCAGGGCGTGGCTGCGGGAGATTCTCGACGCGCTGTACGAGCTCGGGGACGCCCGCGACGACTTCCGCCGCGCCGCGGACGCCGCCGCCAGGCCCAGGAGGCAGCAGGAGGAGGGACGGAGATCGGTATGGCCTTCTTCTAATCTTTCGATCCCCTTGATGAATTGTGAGTTTGAAAAATGCTACTCTCAAATGAATTTGGGAATTTGAAATGCTTTGCTCAAACGAATACATGTGCGCTGCCGCCTTCTAGTTTATACCTCTACCGATAGAGCCATTTCCAGTTACTACTTTTAGATCCTGAAACACATTGGAAATTTCTTAACATTTCTATGAAAATCTTGGAAATGTATCATGCAGTCTCAGTTCTGGCTTCAACATACGCCTTGATTGACTTACTTCACACATGCAATTCTTTGGGGAGTAATTCGTTACTTCTAATATCACGCAAGTGCAAATCAAAAGTTTAGCCATTGTTGCAAGAACAATATTTTAAGTGCATAAAGCCTTGTCAAACAATTCATGGCAATGGGTTTTTTAAGTATGATGCAAATGTGGTGCCATGAAAATTCAGCCTACTTGTGCTCGTTCTCAGCTAATTTGATATTATACTTCCTGATGATAACCTCCTGTGCTCAAGCCCTCAACTGTAACATTTCCAAGAATGAACAGATGAAATATTAGCATCTCCATGTTTTCTTTTGATTTCTTTAAACATTTTACCCTTTCGATCGCACTAACTATAAATGCAATCTTACTATCAACAGTTTCTCCACTGGTTTACGATACCACCAAACCTTTATGGGATGCGATACAAGACTTTAAAAACCAGTATCAACAGTCTGAATATGAAAATGGATGGCATTTTACAGAAGGGCTCTGAATTAGGTCTTCTACCAATCGATCAGGAGATCCTGAATGAAAGGTCTGAAATCTCTTTGGAAGTGATACCTGATGATTACATTGTGGGTGACATTGAAAATGAAGCAAACAAATTGATTGATATATTGACAGACAGGAAAAGTGCGAAGACACTTGTTGCCATAGTTGGTGGTAGTGGAACAGGCAAAACTACACTGGCATGGAAGATACATGATGATCATCGCACAAGAAATGCTTTTGGTATGATCGTGTGGGTTAGTGTTTTCAATGACTTTGATGATATTGGATTGTTGTCTGCAATTGTAACTGCTGCTGGCGGAAATCCTAAAGAAGCAAAAAACAGGACGCAGCTTGAGTTAATGCTGGCTTCCATGCTTAAAGGAAAGAGATTCTTGCTGGTGCTTGATGATGTGCGGGGTCATCAAATTGAAGAAAATTCCCTAGAAGCTCATTGGCATGTTTGTGGTCATGGAAGTAGAATTTTGATCACTACTCGAGATGAGAATGTTGCAACAAAACTAAATGCTTCTTACATCCACCAGGTAAAGGAATTGAGTTTTCAGAACTGTTGGTCCCTGCTTTGCTGTAATGCATGCCTTGATGAGAACCTTCATGGAAACACTTTAAGGAATATAGGGATAATGATTATCCAAAAGTGTAAGAAGATTCCAATGGCTGTTAAGATTATCGGCGCTGTTCTAAGAAGAAAGGAGCAAACCCAAGAATCCTGGCAGAGAGTTTATGAGTTTGAAGGATGGTCTTTTGATGACCTTCGGGGTGATGTTCAAGGCTTAACTGGGGCCATATATTTGGGCTACCATGATTTGCCGTCTCATCTGAAACAATGTCTTCTTTATTTATCACTCTTTCCTGAAGGCTCTACCATCAGGCAGCAGTTTGTTACTCAACTGTGGATTTCAGAAGGTTTGATTGATCGACAAGATGACTGTAGTGCTGAAAAGATCGCAGAGGAGTATTATGAGGAGTTGATATCAAGAAATTTTCTGCAGCTGGAGACTGGAAATCGCGATATAACTAGGTGCACAATGCATGATCAAATTAGATCCTTTTTGCAGTTCTTTGTTAAAGATAAAATTTGCTCTGGTGAAGTGAAACCTGGCACCAATGGAACTTCTAGTGAAGGACTGAGACATGTGTGGATTAGCGGCACCAGTACAACAACTAACCTCGAAGAAACTGTGACCAGCTTGAAGACAGTTATTCTCTACAAGAACCCATTGAGAAATCAAGGGTTAGACAAGCTATTTAAGGGGCTCAAATATTTGCATGTGCTGGACCTTGGTGGTACTGAAATTAGGTACATCCCAAGGACACTGGAATTTCTTGTTCACCTTAGGCTCCTAAATCTTTCATTAACCCGAATTACAGAACTTCCAGAGTCCATTAGTTATCTCAGAAATCTACAATTCTTGGGTCTCCGGTACTGCAATTGGCTACACACCCTTCCGAAGGGAATTGGCAACTTGCATAGATTACAAACTCTCGATCTTCGAGGGACTAGTTTGCATCAAGTCCTGCCAAGTTTGGTAAATCTGAAGCAGCTCTCTACGCTGCACGGTTTCACAGTAAATCGAACACCCATACCTGAGGATGATCCGAGTGGGTGGCCTCTTGAAAACCTAAAAGATTTGAATGCATTGAGAAGCCTGCAGATACTGAAGATGGAAAAAGTATCAGACTTTTCAAGGGTGAAAGAAGCAATGCTAGAGATGAAATCTCAACTTAAGGACCTTGAAATATGTTGTAGCAATGATGATAGACTGGCTGAAGCACGAGAGGATGATTCTAGGACGCTGAAACAGATATTTGATTCACTTTCTCCTCCACAGTGTCTGAAATCTCTCAAAATAGTGAGCTATTATGCAAGACACTTTCCCAATTGGCTTCCTTGCCTCACAAATCTCCAGCGGCTTGTTCTTAGTGATTGCAAATTCTGTGAGCATATGCCTGACCTGTCCAAGCTAAATCAACTGAAGTTCCTTACCATAACTGGATGCTCTAAGTTGCTTACAGTGGAGCAAGAGTCCACAGGTGTCACACAGGCATTTCCCAAGTTGGAGCAGTTGCACCTCAAAGATATGCCAAAGCTAGTATCATGGATAGGATTTGCATCTGGTGATATGCCCTCCCTTGTGAAATTTTGTCTCGAAAGTTGTCCCAAGTTGAAGTGTCTCCCAGAAGGCCTCAAGTACTCCAGAGTCCTAAGAAGTGTGCAAATACGACATGCTGATAGCCTTGAGGTCATTCAGGACTTACCTGTGCTAAAAGAATTGAATGTCCAAGCCTGCAATGAGCTCAAGATAGTCTCAAACCTTCCATTACTCGAAGTGTTAACAATCCGCAGATGCCCTAGATTGGATGATGTCAGTGGTGTTCACTATCTAAGTCATGTCTGCATCACAGATAAAGAACTGAGGAAATTACCAGATTGGTTGTCAATACATGCACCAGTGCTTCAGACATTCAATATAGTCGGCGTATCAGAATTGCTTGATAGATTACTTCCCAATGGTGAAGACTGGGAAATCATTCGTCAAATTGACAAAGTTTATGCTAACTTACTTGATGAATCACCATTCTTCACTTACACAAAGAGCTCTGGTGATTTCCATGTCGATCAAAGAATTGGAGAAATAAACAAACCACCTGTTGTGTTAGGACATGGAACTGCAGTCGGAGGCTTGAGCATTCCTGATCACTCTGTTGAGATAAGCTCTCAAATTGGTGTGTCTAGAGTACCTATGAACCGAATATCCACACTGAGGTGGGTCGTAAGGAGTTACCTTGTTCCGTACCTTATCATGGTTATGGTTGTTATGCAATTTCTTTCGTATTATCTACACAACAGGTCAACTAGGGAGATCTGGCTGGTTCAGACCCTTTTCATCTTCTTCGCGACAGTGTTTTTGCTTCTGCTTGTATTTCTGGACTGATGGTTTTCTCCTACCAAAATTGGAGAGATGAGACCAGTGAAGAAACAGAGTTTTTTTTTCTACCATAATTGGGAAAATGAGACAGCTGGCCCAAGAGACAGATAGTTACAATGAACTTCATAATAGTGGGCATAATCATGTATCTCCTACAGTTGGGGGTGTGCTGCAATTGATTCATGCTTGCTTGGTGGAAGGAAACAATGAAAACAGTGCCTTCAACAACAAAAATCAAGAGAAATGTTGCCTCAAATATTGAAGTTGTGATGTGAGATTTGTTAATAAAAGGGTGCAATATCTTATTGTCATTCTTAAATGAGCCAAGAAAAACAGATTCTGCCAGCCTCTCGCAGTTGGTTTGATTAGTTGTATACTTGTATTGTATTGTTGTATGCACAGTTTAGGTTATAGTGCTCTTTCATATATAGTTTGTAGTGTTTGACTTGCCCTTTTTCAAAGAGATCATAGGGGGTTGTGATGCCTACAGAAATTGATTTGTTTTGTTTAGGGCACAGAAATTGATTTGTTGTATATTTGTATACAAAAATAAGGGTGAATAAACAATTTGTTCCTCCCAAGTTTAGCTCAGGGATGAATTTGGTCTCACATATTTGGACAAAATAGAGCATTAAGAGTCAAATTGACTATGGTGCAAAACTTAGGGGGGAATAAATTAGCCATTCTCCCTAAAAATAAAACAAAACCATGGAGAGCCTTGCAATTAAGTTGTCATCTTTTGTCCTGTGTACTTTCTGTTATATATTCTTCAATGTTGAATTCGATTCCGTCGATAATCGTGACCAAATATTGTATGACACTGGATATTATTACCCGTCATCGTCACAGTGGTTTTCAGATTTTATATGACGTCCATATGCGTAGTTTTAATAGATAAATCTTCAGTATTTAGCTTGCTGCCTGTCAACAGATATTCTCTCTATTACCTATAAGGCTTTATCATAGTAAGCAAAATACATGAGCAAAACTAAAACTCTTCATGGAGTTTTCTGTAACATTCTTTTTCAAGTTGCTCACACACCTCAAGTAAAACTCTGTAAATTTTAGCTCACAGATAACTCAATAATACAACAATTAATGTGTCAAATAGGATAAAGGTGTAGTGACAAAACATAAGATTTTACAGTCATATTTTAAACCATTTCCATATGGTGGAATTCTTTTTCACCAATACATTAGCTTAGATTTTTATAAACCGTGCCAATTCAAGCAAAACATTAATATTTGAAAGCTGTAAGTAAATTGTGACAATCAGTGCAAGTTTCAGAAGTTACCATACAGTAGAGCCTGGGACCATGAGAACAGAAACAATGAAGGTACAAAAACTTGAGCTATTATTTTCATCACAAAATATGGAGTCAAAGAAAAAGTACATTAATCAATCTCTTAGCTCCACATAGCAAAAATATATTGCTTTACAATACAAAGATGCACTTGTTCAAACAAAGTATATGATCTTATTTTATTTGCTCTAAAAATGAGGTAGAGGCACACAAATATTTTTCTAGTGGTGTAACCATTGACAAAAGTACATATTACACAGTCCAACCTAATGGGTGCAGAACAAATTGGAGCTTAGAAAATATTGAAAAGAAAGGAATATGGACTAGTTGAAACTATTTTTCAAATAGGCTACAAGAACAAACACAGGTACAAGATGAATTTTTTGCCAACAAAATGGTACATCAGAAGGTCATGGAATAATCATCAATATTTACTCTGCCTGAACTGACTGAATTCAATGTGAAGAAGCATGCGTGGTTGACAAGAAAAACAAGTGGGCAGCAACAAACAGAAGAACTGCGAAAAGTTCAGTCCTCACCCATGACTGACTCCTGGATCGGCCTATTTCTATTCGCTTGTTTCTCCTTATATTTTCTTCTGGTACAATAACATCATTGCTCGGCGTAATAGAAGGCATAACGAAGCTCTGTGAACTGTATAAAGATCGTGCAAGGGACCTTGCGCTTCTATGGAAGTTGCTGTTACTTTTGGTGTAAGAGAAGTAGAAAGTATCGTCTGGCAGATAGGCAAAGACATGATCGGCATGTTGAATGGCGGACCAATATGTGCTACTGGCAGAGGAGCATTTATCTAGTAGCTCTTCAGTCCCAATTATATCCAATCTCTTGAGAACGAATGGCTGTTGTGGCTGCAACCATTGTGGCAACTCAGTTGAATTTCTGTCATCTGAATGCACAGCGCGTAATGAAGGGACACCATGTACCACTTTCAAAACCAAGCAATGCACAACTTTCAAATCTTCAAGACTTTCGAGATTTAAGATCCTCTTCAGTTTTTTGTTCCTGTGAACTTCAAGTTCTCTAAGTGAAGGCAGATTCTCAATTGTTTTGAGGCTGTCAGCATGATCTATGCGCAAGCTTCTCAGTGCAGTACAATGCTCAAGCCAGCGAGGAAGTGAATCCAGCTTGGGGCATCTTTCAAGCCTGAAATCCACTAGTGAAGGCATATCTCCTTCTTCGATACCTGACCATGACTTCAAGTTGCTCATCTCGCTGATGAGCAACTGTTCCAGCTTGGGAAATGCCACTCCATTATCTGGTTTTCCGCGAAGTTCAGGGCCAATGGTAGCTGACAAATTAGAATCGATTATTGCAAGGTATTTTAGATTACTCATCTGGCCCAGAGATGGCAGCTGCGAGCAATGTGAACAACCATCAATGGTTAGCCTCTGCAACTCTGATAGACCGGGAAAGGATAGCCAAGATGGAAATTCATGTCCATAATAATTTGCCATCTTGATAGACACAACAGAAGGTGCTGGCGCCAGTTCTTCAAAAACATCTTTAATATTCTCGGCTCTACCTATCTGTGTTGTTTGCTCATCAATGCTGCAGCATAACTCAAGCTCTTTGAGGTGACGCTTTTCTCGCAATGCCGATTGTTTTGCACCTTCCGCATTTAATTCCCTCTCTATCCGTAACATCTGGAGGCTTGTCAGCTTAGATAAGGAACTCAGCTCCTGAAAAGGCCAGCCACATTTATTTTGTGTACCACTTGGGCTTACAAGGAAACCTTGTAGGCAGTTGAGTTCTCTCATCTGGGAGAATTTAAATGAAACAATATTTAGTCCAGCACCTGACATGTCAAGGCTTCTCAAGTTTTTTAGCCGGCCAACAGATTCTGGGAGAGAATTAAGACGAATGCAGTTCCTGAGGATTAAGAAGCGCAACATCCTCAGATTCTCAATACTACCAGGAATTTCTCTAATTTGAGTGTTGGCAAAACTAAGATATCTAAGGTGTGCCATCCGTCCCAAACTCGCAGTAACACAGTCGATCTGTGTATTTCCAAGGTCTAGAACTCTTAAGTGTGTGAACTTTAGGAAAATATCACTCAAGGCCCTATCATTTAGCGTACCCCCAGATAGGAGAAGTGTCCTCAAGTTCCTGAGCTTTTTAAGACCATTTCTAATGGATTCTACACCTCCATTTGTAACAGACAAACGGCATGGTTTGAAAACATCACCTATATCTTGAGGGTTGCCAGTAAAGTTTTCATCTTGTGACTGAAGGAGTGCAAATGATCTGAAAAGATGAGGCATCTTTGATCCCACCACATCGCAAGCTTCATTCTCTGGGAGAAGAAGGCCTCTTCCTAACAATTCATCATAACATCTTTCAGCTTCTTCTTCAACTGTTGCAGAGTGCCTCTGTGTTGAGTTTGTCTGGGTCACAATGAATCCCTCCGCGATCCACTGCTGGGTGATGCACTGCCGCTCGATAACAGATCCCTCTGGGTACAACGCACAGTACAGAAAACACCTCTTAAGGTAATATGGCAGTTCCAGGTAGCTCATGTTAATAGTGCTCCGTATCCTTGCAGAAATGCCACAGAAATCGCTCGAGTAGACTCTTCCCCATTCATCCTCCTTATGATCCACATCCCGTAGATGGCATCCAATCCTCCTTATTGCCATTGGAAGGCCATTGCACTTTTGCACGATTCGTCTTCCCATGTCCTGCATGTTGCCAGCACCCTCATCAAGAAAGGCCCTTGTACGAAGCAACCACCAACCATCATCCTCATTCAGCATCTTCACACGGTGAAGATGGATAGCCCCCATCCTCCTAGCAACACGCTCATCCCGGGTTGTCACAAGGACTCTACTGCCAGGGGCGCCATGTTGGGCTTGTATCTCTAGCCGCCCATCCCAAACATTCTCTCCCCATACATCATCAATGACCAGCAGGAACCTCTTATCTTGTAAATATGATAGCAACAGTGCTTGTTGTTCTGCAATTTCTGCTTTACTGAACATCCCATCAGACCACATTGTTAAGTGCCGCAAATCTTTGGAGACGTGTACCCATAGCCTGGTCTCAAACATGGCTGCTGCCTTATGGTATACTTTACGAGCAAGGGTAGTCTTGCCTACTCCAATAGTTCCTATGATAGCAAACAAAGGACAAGTAGTATTATAGTCTCTGGTTAGCAGCTGTATGAGATTATCGGAGTCATTCTCAACCTCTCTGCCTACGATATCAGGCTCAAGATGTGGAGCAACATCAAGATCTAATCTGATTTGATCTTCTGCCACTGGATTCAGATGGAGCAGTGTACTCTCTGATCTAATGCTCTCCAGTTCCTGATTTAGTTCATGTATATCATTTGCTATAATGTAGTCAACAGCGACATCTCTGCAGCACTTAAAAAGCGATGAAGGATTGCACTCCTGCACAGAGATTGTAAATTTAATTCATGTTTGAATAACTAGATAGTGCAAAATATGAAGATAATATGAAAAATGTACTACAGAATTTTCTCCTTGAGACTGGAATCAGCAAGATAAGCACATTAGGCTATTTCCTGGTGAATAACATATAAATTTATGCAATGCAAATTAAGATAAGGTACTATCTTTACTCGCGGTTCATATGCCAATTCCAGTGATCTTGGCCTCTTGACAGGAAAAAGGAAAAGAGCACTACCAGTTCTACTGACTAGGACTGGTAGATGTCATACTGATTAAGAAGTGATTTCATACTTTCTTTTTTATGTAGTCTTAATGCTAATGATTTTATCATTTTAAAGGACCAAAAACAGTAGTTTTATCCCTTAAAGAAAAAACACAGTAGTTCTACCAAAAAAAAAAGACGAATCAAATAAAAATAGCAAACCTGAACTACCAGCTAAGGTCTGGTAATATTTCAAATAATCTTTCTGTCATCCAAACTATCAACAACATGTGGCCACAGAAGCAGATGTTAGCAGTACACATATATGTTAAGGTATATTTAGGATATGCAGCCCAAATTGCCTTTGATTAAATATTAGTTCGCTACCACAGGAACTATTGGAGTGTTATTAAGTATTAGTTGTAGAGAATGTTGGTTACGATAGAGTGAATGGTTGTTTTTGCTAGACACATGTATATTCAGTACACAGTTCGTGGTCTTACATGTCTTAATAACCATTCATAGATTTATAGAAACTAAAAAAAAAGAGTGTACTGAATACTGATACTAATATCTGTTAAAATTTCAGCAGAAATAACACACTAGTTTCCTATATATCTGCAATAAGAAACTGGACTGAGTCTGAAATGTGTCCAAAAGTCCATCATACATTTGTGGTGATTGATTGGAGCATTCCTAGAAGGACCGAGACAAGCTGAATAATGCCCGTTGCCTCCAACCCCATCTAAAAGTTGAGGCTATACACATTATGTTGGCATATTTGAGTATCCTTAGACAACAGTGAGCCCTCAAAGGCTCAAAGCTCACAATATTCAAATACATTGTATGCAAGCATTTTTTTTTTTGGACAAGCATTGGAAATGGTCTTCAATGAAATTACAAATCTAAATAAGCTAAAAATAATTATCAACAAAAGCAGAAAGGAAAATAACAATTTGGAGAAATATGTTCCCGGGGTTAAAACAAAATTGATGAAGATTTGAGAAATATAACCTGTGGTTGGAACATTTGGAGCCTCTCTTGTTCAATCCTGCAGCGGTCAATTATGTTTTCTGCCTCATAAGCTATTCCTCTCAACTGCTTCAACCAATCCCTTGTGGTTTCATACTGCACAACTGTCTGCTCAGCATCCCTGATGATAGCCGACATGGTCTCAAGCTTCCTCTTAAGCTTGTTGATTTCATTTTTGACGCAGAGCACTTTGGCGATCTCGTTAGCAGCTAACTCACCAAGTGACCTGACAACATCCTTGGTGTAACCAGCTAGAATTGTCTCCATCAAAACTCACTTGAGACTTTCTCTACAGAGAGTCAATAATTCATGCATTATTTCCCCGCAAAAAGAATCATTCTTGCATTAGAAAACAGACATGCAGTAGCTTCTAGCCTTTCTGTTGATGTTCATCAATTATTGATTAACATGTGACAACTAGCAATTCTTTTTCTGAAGGAACTATTAAAATTGATGCAATAAATTAAACAAGCTACATGAGCATTAACACATCAAAGCAGGACAGCAAGTGCAGAGCCACAGCCACATTGCAAGATGCTACTAGTATGCAACAAATGCACTACCATCCGAGATATAATCCTCAATTTCTCAACCAAATTTATTTGGCCAATCCATAGCAACAAAAAGCTAGGTATAGGTACATAAACAAGGAGAGAGTTTGGGGGGACACCTTTCGAAATCTTGAAACCCAGCTCCACCTGCAAACCGCGCCAAGAAACAAACTTGCGCGACGCAGTCGAATCTGCAGGAGGAGAGAAACGGATTGGAACCAAGAAAAGAGAGGGGAGACGATGCAGCAGCAAAGATCAAAGATTTCAGAGAAAAAAAAATTAAAAAAAGAAAAAATTTCAGGCACACCTGGAACCGCAGGATCAGAACGGCGCGGCCGGCGTTGCGCAACGCGGCGAGCAGGAGCGGCTCTTCTGCAATTTCCATTCGATCGCGTCGGCTCCTCGCCCCGCGAAAATTCTTTAATGCTCGGGGAAAGTTCTCCGTGGAGGGGAGTGGCCGGCCGGAGCAAGCTGTGTTCCTGCTGGTTGTTGCTTTCTTTAATTTCTCTCGGTTGACTTGCTTATACACAATTAATTTGCAGTCCACCCCCCTCTATTTGGCAAAACTGCAAAAGGAGTCTAATTTGTGAATAAGCGAATTTACGGCCCCCTTTATTAGCACACCGCGCTACTCCCTATATCCCATAAAAAAATAATCCTAACTATAAATCTGAACACGTACATCATAAAAATTGAGCTTTTCATGTGAGGACATATCCGGTGAAAACAAGCTAAATGTTAGAAACTCGTGAAAATCATACCTAAAGTTTTGTAAATTCATAAAAACATTACTAGAGATAGTTATAGATATGAAAACATTCTCATCAAATCTCAAATTTAAAATCAACTTCGTTTGAGAGAAAAAAAGATAAATTTCGAGTAAATAGTGTCGTGTTACTATTCACCTAAAATTTATCTTTTTTTTTACTTCCAAACGAAGTTGAGTTTGAACAAAAGATTTTGTGAGAATGTATTTCATATTTACACATATTTCTAGTAATTTTTTCATGAATTTAAAAAACTTTTAGACATGATTTTCATGAGTTTCCAATACTTAGCTCGTTTTCACCGGTTATGCTCCCATTATTCAATCTATCTATATTATTCAATCAATCAATCAATCTATTTATCTGTAAAGAACCATGGCACCACATTCATTATGGAGGCTATAAAATCTCACATTAATTGAAGAAAAATAAAAAAATAAATTTTTTAGTAGGAACATAATTTAGAATAGTTAAAATTAGGAAAAAAAATATATATAGAAAGAACAATCCATCTAAAACACAACATGAGATTAATTAAAATTCAAAAAAAATCAAAAATGAAAATAATAATAATCAAAGATCAAGTAGAAATACAACTTACAAATAATTAGAATTTAAAATAAAAATAAAAAATATTAAAAGATCTGGAACACATCACGAAATTAACTAAAATTCAAAATAAACATTAAAATAATTCCGAAATTAGAAAAATAAATATGAGAATTAAATTTATAAATAACTGAGATTCAGAACAAAAGTTTCCATATTAATCAGAGAAAAACAAAATTTAAAGTTCAAATTCGAATGCTATTTAGAAATAACTAAAATTCAGAATAAAAATAAGGTATATCAAAAGGACCGTTTATCTAAAACACAACAGGAGATCAAAATTTTGAAATAAAAAATAAAATTAAATATAAAATTACAAAAAGAAAAATTGAGAGTTAAAGTAGTAATATAATTTAGAAATAACTTGAAAATCATAATAAAATATAAGAAATATTTAAAAAAAAGGAAAAAAAGAACCATATAGAACACAACATTTTTAACTAAAATTCAAAATAATAAATAATATATTAGTTGTCGATTCGACAACTGCGTCACGTCGAAAGACGCGGTTCTCTCAAGAGTGGTTGGAAATAAAGACAATTGTATTGCTTAGTAAAATTTTTTCAGATCCCCCTGTTACCTGGCCCTAGGGGGCTACTTATATCACTATTACAGACTCTCTCTTTAGGGTTTAGTTTTTACAGGGGAATTTATATGGTTATCCATATGATAGGGACATTATTATGGGCATATAGTGTCTTTTGCTTGTATGGGCTCCTAATGGGCCAAGTGACTCGGCCCAGTCCTTGGCGAAGCCTCCGGAAGGCGTGTCGACTCGCTGGACGTTCTCCTGGCGAGGTCCGATATTTGGCGAAACCTATGCCCTCCGTGGCTAGGCCTACGCCTCGCAGCCTTCGACCGTATGTCCCTCCGGAAGGGTCCACCTTTGGCGAAGCTTGTAAACTCCATGCCACGGCTTTCGCCATGTGGCTTTCGCCTATGCTGTCTCTTTGACCTTTGTCGCTTGCCTCCGGCCCGCGTCTTTGCTTATGTCCTTGGTTTCGGTAGGCCCGGCCGAAGGTCCTCGTGGTATACCTCCAACAATATTATATTACAAAGAGGACAAGTCTAGAGGCGGCAAAGGAGTGGGGCAATGTCGGATAGCAAGACTTCTAAAATCTATAAAAAGGAAAACTGAACAACGATCAGGTTTGAGTTTTAAAATCCTAATGATACTAATAAATAGTATGGGCAACATGCTGGCCATTAAAAAGTAAGGTCATGGAAGTTTATAGGACATCTAAAACTATAAAAAAAGAACCCCAATAATAATTAGGTTAGATGTTTAAATTCTAAAAAAAAAGAGGATGGGTGGCGGGCAAGTCGTAAATGAGTAGGGTGGTGCCTGTTGACGAAACTTCTAGAAATTAAAAAAATGAACCCTAACAATGATTATTATTATATGTTTAAAACCCAAATGACCATAAATAGGAGGGGTATCGGATGAACCGTAAAGGAATAGGTTGTCGTTTGATGGAATTTCTAAAAACTATAAAAAGGGAACCTAACGAGACCATGAACTCTATAAATTACAAGTCAGTTTTTAAAGGTCTCAAGGAGAATAGAAGCCATGGTGACCAAGTAAGCAAATATAGGGAAGGAAAATGAGTAAAGGGTGATGGTTTGTGTGACTTTCAAAAGCTATAAAATTGAAAATCTGATGATGATAAGGTTTGATTTTTTAAAATATTCTAAGAAAACGAGATAACTATTTAACAAATGTTTCTAAAAAATTATATGTAGAAAAATTAGATAATTTTGTATCGGTGCTAGCCGCGCAATTACGCAGGCCACCTGCTAGTTATGATCACATGAGTATTAGAAATTAATGCGTCGGGATATGTTGAATAAAGTAAAACTCAAGCAGATAATAAGTTGCAACCCGTTTGAACTAAAGTTGCAACTTTTCTATATTATGTAAGTTTAGTCTACATTTTGTGAAATGATAGTGCGTATACATATCTTTGAGGTCCTCAATGTTTTAGGAATATTAAAAGCTTTATGCAATACTAGCTAAAGACCCATACGTTGCAACGAATATTATAAGAGATGAAAGTAAAAATAAAAAATTACAAGTTTATATATATAGCATAGTTAGTTGGTTAGGTATATAGTGTCACTACTGGAGAACCGATCATTGCTGGATGGAGTAAAAACTATATTAGTCCCAGTTTGAATAGGAACCGGGATTAAAGATCATCTTTAGTCCCGGTTTAAAAGCCCAGGGTTACTTTTTAATTTTTAGTCCCAGTTCAATAGCTGTCAGGCCCCCCAACAAACTTTAATCCCGGTTGGTATTACCAACCGGGACTAAAGATTATATATTTAATCCCGGTTGATGATACCAACTGGGACTAAATATCTCTCTCCCATTTCATCGACATCTCTCGCTCTCTCTCTTCATTATTTCCTTATCTTCTCCTCCTCCACTCCTCCTCATCCTTCGTGATTCACCCTTTCATTCCTAGAGCAGGGTATCTTCAATTTGAGTAACCAGCTTGCCATCCTTCTCAACCAACAATTGGAATGGAATTCATCCCAATAATCCTTAGTTAGCTGCCCTGAAGGCGATCCAAACAATAGCAATATCAGCTCATGGGGATGACCTAGAATCTCTTTCTCTGCTCCGTCGAACCAACCTGCTACCATGTAAACAACTATACCATGACTAGTTGAATTATATTTCCACTTAAGCTTTTTTTTTATTTTTCTTCAATTAATGTTAGGTTTTATAGACTCCACACGGAACGTGGTGCCGTGATTCCTCCTTTTAATGTTATCTGAATATATAGATAGATAGATAGATAGATAGATATATTTGTTTTACCAATGTTGATAACAACTAACTATGTATTATTTGCAAGTCTAGATTAAAAAAATGTTTGTTTCAAATAAAAACAAGAAGCTAGAAAAAGAACATTATAGTAGGAGTAATTAGTTATATACTGATGCTCTAGTATAAAGGAAACAGTGATTTATAGACGTAAGAAAAAGATGAGTCAATTAACAAACGGAGATAGCCCCAAGTAGTATATCATTACTTACCCATGCATAATAAGTCTCTAAAGGCATCATGCTCCATGAAACATCGGCGGGCATCATGCCCTCCTTATTCCGCATATCCAATCGTACCTGTGGATGCCTAAGGAGGTCATAGACAACAATAAAATCTTCAGTACGGACAGCGCTGTGCAGCGCGGTGTCACCTTTGTCGTCCTGCAGATTCAGGATGGATGACAACTCTGACGACCTGCGGACAACATGGCGAACCACTACATAACTCTTGTTCTCAACGGCAGCATGGAGGAAAGTTCGTCCTCTCGCATCTCGCAGGGTAGCACAGTCCGGGCATTTCTCGAGCAGGGCCTTCACGGCCTCCATGCTGCCAGCCGATCGACGCAGCAGCGTGTATGGGGTACTGCCCTTGGTTGTCCGGCTGGTACGCCGTGGACACGTTGGCATCCGGCAGCAGCCTGGTAGCCGATGGCCCTGCCGACATCGACCCTAGGGACGGCAGCCCAGCCATAGATGCGGCCAAGTGAAGAGGGGTGCTCCCGTTGTCATTGTCCCTCTGGCTAGTGAGCTGCTGCATGTCGACGTCGGCCGTCGTCTTCAGTTTCTTATTCTTGAGCCATTCCAAAACCATAGGCAGAGCCTGCAGTGCTGCATCATGCATGCAGGCAGTTGAATATATGTATATACTGGGATCGATCATTTATTTTCTTCCCTTGCATTAATATTAATTTATCGTTTCATTTATTTTCTTACTCCCTCTAATTCACGACCATAAAGAATAAACAGTTCATATATTTTGGCCTTAATTCCCAACGTCCACAAGTGTACCTAATAAGATGAGTGTATGCTACGTCCTACGTACACCCTTCGTTCAAAACATAAGCTATATATAGATAAAGTTTTTTTACATAGTCTCATATACTATACTTTGACTAATAAATTAAGAATTAACATGGTTTAATCTTGGCCCTAGAAAAAGACAGACAGTTCACATTAGGTGAAATCCACTTGGTGGAGTTGAGTCCAACGCACCCGTGATACGTACATGTCGTGAGCCGTGCGATGCAGTCAAGGGAGGTGCCAATATCTACGACGTGCAAGTGC